GGTGATGGTGTTTGTGGTTTGATGTTGATAACTGCTCAAGTATTGTTGATGTTGACGGAAATTCATGTTACTGTTGCAGCTGCTTGCTGTTGCTGTTGCCTTTAGGAAGATCGTGGTCGCTCTTGCTTCTCCACAGCTCAACTGTTACTCGACTGCGCTCTTGTCCCGCAGCTAGATGCTTGAGCATTCTCATGTATCCGTTTTGATGTTGTTTACGATCACGCACGACCTCGGACTTTCCTTTTCGGGCTGGTTTGTTGCTAAATGTTTTGGGCTCCAAATGTTGTACCATCGACCTATCTGTAAACATAAATGGACAGGAAGAAACATAGTCGACGTATATCATGTGTAGAGTTTGGCAGGCTTGGGTGCACATGTATCATCTGCGATCGATATCATGCCTTTTGGTTCAAGCCTTGGCAGTTGAGCCAAAAAGGCAGGATTTGTTGCCATTAGCTCGCGGAGTCGACCCGCTTATTATGGCACATGTCTTTGATCAGGAGTCACCTGAGGTACAGGTTCTTGCCTATGTTATCAGCCGCTTCGCGGTGCATACCGAGGCCCAGGTGTTGCACCCAGCGGCTATGCTGGATCTCAGGGCTCAGCTTCGGTTTTTGGTTTCCGAGGGTCGGAATGTGGATGCAGCCAGGCTGTGGGCATCAGCTCTCGAGATCCAACATTACCCTCCTCCCCCTCCATTGCTCGACGGGTTACCTGCAGGTCTGCCACCTATTCGCACGGTCCCGTGTGTCGACATGGACTGTGCCCGGTGCGCCCAGAGCCGCGGAGGGTTCCAGCTGCCTTTTGTGGGTACATTCACACATGCTGCAGCGATTGTCCGTCCAGGGAGTGACCCGGCTCAAGCGTGGAGTGCTTACCATGCATGCCGCTCCTATTTGTCGCCGGGCGACATCACGGCCCTTCATTCGGGCCTTTGGCCTACCGACCTGCTGCCGAACCACCTCTACGCGCTCTTTTCTCGGGTGGCAGAACAGACCCACCCTCGGGCAGCCAGCTCAGCCGAGCTCTGGATCGTTTTCAGGCGGTGGCAAGCTGGGAGGAGGGTGTGGATCGAGCCCGGAGTCGAGGTCCCTTCTTGGGAGGCTGCCCGGGAGGATGAAAGATCACGGGCTCATCGGACCATCTGGCTGTGGCTTGGGGCCGTGGCTTACGGGCCGGGACTATTGCCAGCAGCCTGCCACAGCTGCGGGGTGCCAACGGTCCTCCGCTGTCGGCGGTGTGACGCAGCGGCTTGTGGAGACTGCCTGGGCCGCTGCATTCGGTGCCTGTGATGATGGGCGATTCTGGAAGGGGCGTTCCCTTTATTATGACCGGCAGGAGCCGGCGGCCGCGGCGGAGACCGCAGGCATCTTCTTATACCGGGGTGGCGACCCCCGATGCCCTGGGATTAGGGCTGCAACCAGGAGTGGACCTGGGGCTGTCTTCGGCGGTGGCGACCCGCCCGGTCTTGAGTCGTGCTCCTTCCCTGCTTCTGCCGTTGCCCGGCCTTCACGATCATCTTCCACGGCGGCTTCTCGGCTCAGGCCTCTGCTAGCAGCTGCGATGGCCGGTGTGTACGCCCAGCAGTCGCTTGAGGCGGCAGGAGATGGCGATGGCCAGCCCGGCCCGTCTTCCGGACTCTTCGGGGAGGGTACCCCGGTAGAGGTCCGGGTGGATGCGTGGCGCCGCGCTTTTGGTCTGGCAGATGACGAGGAGTTCGCCTATGTCTTCATGTCGGCGGAGGAGGCACAGCGCCAGGCCGGTGCAGAAATCGCGGCAGCCTGGAAAGAAGTCCGGGAGAGGGTTGATGAAGGCAAGGCCCTGGCATTCGCCCACGAAGCGGCCCAAGCCGGAGCGGCGGCGGCCAAACCTTCCACAAAGCCCCGCCCGCCTTTGCCGCGGCGGCGGGCAGCCGTGCCCAAGGCACCGCTGCAAGCCCGTACGCCTGTGGAGCGCGCTGCCTTGGAGACACCATTGGTCGAGGAACTCGCCGACCTGTGGGTAGATGCCAAGGTTCAGCGCCCGAGCGGTGAGCTCAACGCGGGACGCCAAGCTGAGTGGGAGAACTTTGTGAGGCGCCGTGCTGCCAAAGTGTGCAGCGAAGCGGAAGTGGCCACGATCAAGAAGGCCGTGGTTTCCCTCCGCGAGCTTCAGCATTTCCAGGTTGCCCGGGGCAGAGACGGGCTGGAAGAGGTGGACACCCTGGACCTGGACGCCTTCATATTCAACTCGGCCGCTCCTCATCGTGCTGTGGCGGGCTTGCGGTGGGCTGCCAAGCAGGCGGAGCTCGCCTGGAAGATTCCGGATGCACCCCGGACCGACCAGCGCCGCAAGCCCAGGGACGAGCGTCAGGCCACATTGGCCGAACCGCCGATGCTGGTCCACCTGGAGAAGGTTATTGAGGACCGGTGCATTATGGGCGACCCTCGGTGGACTGCGATGCTGGGGCAATGGATGCAGGCCTCCAGCTGCATGCGGTATGCCCACCTTCGCCGAAGCGAGGTCCTGCGCATCACGGGGTCGACCGTGCATGCCTTCTGCAACAAGGGCAAGCAGCGCCGCCTGCGGCAGGGGTTTTACTTTGCCATTCCGGCAGCCTTCGCTTCTGGATGGAACTGGACCGAACCTTGGAAAGAAGCCTTCGAGGCCCTGCCCAAAGGCCGGCGGAGCCAGTGTGGGCTATGCTTCGATGCTCGGGGCTTCTCGTGGTCCCTCAGGGAGTCTACCCTGGCCGTGCAGGCGGCTTTCACGGATGTGGTGGCCAATCCGGAGGAGCTGACCTCCTATAGCTGGCGCCGGTTGGGCCCTTCTGTGGCTATGCTGGCGCAGCTTACGCCGGGCGAGTCGAACGCCCTTGGGGACTGGCAAGATCGAGTCTCTGACCAGAGGAGTGCCATGCCCGTCCACTACAGTGGGTTGCGCTACAAGGAGAGCGTTCGAGTCAAGCATTTGGTGTGGGCCTACATGGGGGAGTTGCGCCCCTATCCGACGTGGGATACGGTGACCCCGCAGGACGTCGCGGAGCACACGACTTTGGCCCGGTCCTTGTGCGACCAACAGGTCAGGGCTGACAAGGAGCTCCTGTGGCAGGGACCAGCCTTCGCCGCGCACAAGCCCAAGAAGTTTACCATGAGGTTGGCCGCCCCTCTTGCACGCAAGTCTTTGGCCGGCCCGGTGCTACCTCTGGCGAAGCTGCGGTCGAAGCGAAGGGCCGAGCCTAAAGCGGTGGCGAGCAGCTCGGCCCGGCCTAGCTCGGCGGCTGCGGAGTTGCCCGCACCAGGTTCCCCCATGCCGCCTTATATCGGTCGCCACAAGACGTCGCAGAACTTCAAGGACGGCGGCCGGCTGTGCACCGGCTTCAATTTGGGCAACTGTCGGCGGGGTTCCGACTGCCCTTTCCTTCACAGGTGCGCTGCCACCAAGCTCTCCACAGACAGAGTCTGCGGCGGGAAGCATGCGGCCCTGGACTGCCGCACCAAGAAATATGGCCTACCTCCCGGCTATGTCGTCCCCGGACAATCGCCTGAGCCAGCGCCTGCTTCCCGACGGCGTCCAGCCGACGCACCGGCCGAGGGCGATGGCCGGCGAGATTCCAGAAGGAGGGTGGTGCCAGGTGGTGATGTGGCTCCCCCGCTTCCCCTGACTTCGCCTCCCGGGGCGTTACCTTGGGGGGCAGGGTCAGGTGTGGGTCCCCGGCGCGAGTCACCGGCTCCAGCACGCCGGGTCGACACGGCAGCAGCTTCAGGCTCCACGGCTCGGGGCTCGGGCAGCTCACCTGCCCCGAAGATCAAAGCCATGCCCAAGGCCTTCAGACCGGCGCCGGACCCCACAGAGGCTGAGAACCAGGCGGTCTTCGACAATTTGGCGGGCAGGCGCCCAGTCCAGCGCCCTACCTGTATTTGGGAATCGCCGGCAGGAGGGCGTCTCTTCCTGTCCGGCTTGCCGCTGCGGGAAACCAGTGGCCAATTCCCGACGATCCATTTGCAGATTACTTGTATGGATCAAACCCCGGAACAACGGGGCGGCATAGCCCTGTGCAGCCGGAACCTGCTGTTCAACATCTCTGCCAGGCGGTCCCGGGAGGAAGAGTGGCTCCGCATCTTCGGTGCAATCGCACGCACGCTCCTGGCGGGCCACAACGTATTACTCCACTGTATGGCGGGCCGGCACAGAGCCGCGACTACCGGCGTCGCATGCCGGGCGGTGTTGGCAGGCGAGACCCAGGAGGAGGCGAATCAGGCGATCCTGAGGGTGAGACAGATCGAGGTGGATCGCGCTATCCAGCAAGACCGCAGCCTGGGTTCGTGGTTGGCCGGGGCCGTGCGTAACACACGTGTCCCCCCGACACCGGTGCAGCCACGCGGATATATCGCCACTGCGAGCTCGCACCTCCACCTCGAGTCCCCGGAGGAAGGCGTTCCTATCTGCAAGCACAAGCAGGGTATTGAGAGGCGCCGGTTGGCCAACCCGCAGCGCACGACTAGCAAGCTAGAGGCCATCGGATGGGAGCGACCCATCTGCGAGGGCTGCTTTTCACGAGCATCCTCCAAGTATTTTCCGGTATAGGCACCTCGACGAAGCGAGGCTTTCGCCACGATATGCCGGTAATTCGAAGTCGACCAGTTCGCCACCAGCAAATCTATTTTGCGGGTGCCGCATAAGAGCCCGTGTGCCCGCCGTGGCTGGTACCGTATCTTAGCAAGAGAAGCGAGAAAAAGAGGGGTGCGGGCGCGGAGTGTAGGAGCAGTGGCTGTGGTGATGCAGTCGTGACTGAGTGCCTGCACCTTGTCCCTAGCCCCCACCCTCTTTTCCCTGCTTGCTGCTTGCTGCTCTCTCTTTCCCCTCTCTCTCTCTTCTTCTCGGTCCGGTCAGTTGGTCCTCGCCTTGCTCGAAGGTACCGCAACCTCGGAGCTGACCGAGGGGATCGCGGAGTCTGGCGATAGGCTGGGAGTTTGACCCTCGTGCAGGCTCTTCGGGGGGTCGACCTCGACGTAGGCCCCATGTCGTCAGTCTCGCTTGTCCCTCGAGTGGAGCAGGACATTAAGGCGAGCATGGATAGCCTGCAGCTGAACTTCGGTTTGGACGCCAAGGTGGTCGCAGAAGTGCTCGGCACTGGGATCCGCCACCTCGAGGAGTTTCGCTTTTATTCGAGAACGAGGCGGCGATAGGTACCTGGGTGGGTAAGTTGGGGCTAGGGGACGCCACTATGTTGCAGACCGCCCGCCTCCGTAGGGCGTGGAAGGCAACATGCACATACTACACCCAGGCGGAGCAAGACCGCTCTAAGGTTGCCTTGGCCGACCTCGACTCGATGTTGGCGGACTCCGAACTTCGCACGCTGAAGGAAGCCTTTTGGATTCGCTACAAGTTGCGCTTTCCTGCCGAAGTGCAACCCTCCGACGCAACAGTCTCCCGCATCTCTCGGGAACTTTCCAAAAGGATGCTTTGTATATATGACGTATGGCGAGTGCGATCCCTACAATTCCAGTTAGGCACCTCACAAAAGCGGCGCAAGCTGGCTGATGGCCTCTATACCGACGAGCCCGAAGTCGACGAGGTCGTCGCTCGGGATGTGGACACATATCTTCACAAGCTCCACACGCTTATGATCGCATACGCGCTCAACGGGGTGCAGGTGATCGCGGGAGTGGACCCGGCGGGAGAGAAAGCGCTGGGCGCCAACTCTTGCCATTTCGTCGAGGTGCCTTTGGATTGTGTGCTGGCATACTACTACCGGGCCCGTAAGGCCGCCATGCAAGTCGCTCCCGCGCAGCGGCTGAGCTGGCTTCAGCATCGTGATGCCGAGGAGCGAGCTGAGTGGGTCTCGCGGTTCCGGGAGGGGACCCGGACGCTCGGAGCAGTTATTAAAGAGGTTATGGAAGCACGTGACGCCCACTGGTTGGCGCCAGCGCTGCCGGAGGGAGTGCCAGTCGCTCCGAAGCCCCAGCCAGTGACCGCTGAGCCAACCAAGTCCTTGTTCGTCCCGGGACCCATGGTGGGAGGCAAGCCCACAGCTCGTGTGATGAAAGATGGAACCAAGCTTTGCGGTGACTACCAGAAAGGGTCCTGCAAGCACGCACCTCCGTGCCCGAATGGGGCCCATCGCTGCGCCGTGGTTCTCCGGGCCGAGCGCGTCTGTGGTGCGCCCAACCATGGGGCGGCGAAGTGCAAGGCCAAGGCGAAAGCGAGGAGTTCGTGATGGGGCCCTGGCCCAGCAGTGGGGGATGCTGAGCCCGGGGTCGCGGACTCCCCCTTCGCAGGGGAGTTGACCCCTTGCCTGGTGATGCTTCACCGCGAAGACATCATTCTGAGCCGTGCTTTTCAGTGCTGCGGTTGGAAAGTCTTGGCCGCCGATCGCTTGACCCAAGAGGCCGATTGCATTTGGACGGGGCTGGCCGCGCCTCCGCCTATCTCGCCGGACTCCTTCGAGCAGCTGTTGCAAGGCTGTGCCTCCAGGGGGGCTGCCGTTGTTCAGGAGGGGGTTCCTCCAGAAACAGGCCCGGCCAGCAGTCCTTCAGCAGTTTGGCTCGATCTCTGGTACGATTCCTGCGTCTTTCTCGATGTGCACAGGCATACTAGGCTCCTTCGACATAACGTGGCCGAGATCCAGCAATGGCCTTCGGTTCGGTGCCACCACCGCCACCCGCCTCAGGGGAGTGACCCCTGGGGGGAGGGGTCGCGAGGGTCTCCGCCCGTTCCCATTCGCCTTTTCCGTCGCAGTCTCCCTGAGCTGGTGGGCTGCTAGGTGTGGCCGCGCGAAGCTCCGGGTCCATCGATGGCCGTTGGTGGAGCCGGTGGGTCGGCGCGAGCATTGGGTGGACGTTGACCCCCGATCGCGCGCCGACTGGGCAGTGGAGCCTATGGCTGTATTCCTGGGCCTGCGCCCACACGATCCGGGAATGGACCGCCTGGTCCCGCTTGGGCGATCCGTGGGCGAGGTCGAGTTACACGACCGGTCCTTGCCGCCAGGGCATGTGTACGTGGGGCGCGGGCACCATTCACACAGGCTGCCAGTTACCAAATGGTGTTCCCCGTACACTCCAGGGCACGACTGCTCCCCGTCCGAGTGGATGCATCTCTTTGTCGAGCACATCATTTGCAATTTCTGGACTTCTCTCCCCGACTTGCAGGGCGTGACCCTTGTCTGCGATTGCCCCTTGGGCTCATTGTGTGAAAGGGATGTCCTGGCAGGCCTGGTGTGGTACCAATTGGCCTCGAGCCGGAGTGGAGGCAGCTGGCAGGGTATGCCAGCCCCGGCATGGAGTGCCGCGTGGGCCGCCTTCACACAGATACCAGCCTCGGTCGCCCATGTCATTCCCTACTCCCCGCAGGAGTCCGTCATCACGGCTTTCCGCAGCCTGTTCCCTTCCTCGGCCTTCCGTGGCTTCGTCTTTCCTTTCATCGAGGACCTGGTGAACAGTCCTCCTTTCACTCTTTTCCCCCAGTGGTTGCGGGAACAAGGGCTTCGCTGGGATGGCGCGTTGGGCCCTTTTCTTTCTGACCCAGCCTGCAGGTTGATGCAGCGCACAGCGGAGGGTCAGCAAGCGGGGGCGCTTTCGGGGAGGGCGGCGCTTCCCCCCCTCCTCCCCTTCGGCCTGTCCCCGGATGAGCATTTCCGGCAGGCTTTGGCTAGGGGGGACGACCCCTTGCCTACAGAACACCCTCCGGTCTTGGACCAAGACCTCCACTTTGCGGCAGCGATGACTGTCGGGTCTCTTCTTCGCGAGTTGAGGCGCGAGTGTGTCGGCCCGCTTCGGGAGTTGAAGCGCCGTTGGAGCCATGTGGGGGACCACCTGCGTAAGCTCCAGACTCCGGCGGTCCGGCAGGTCACGGCCCAGCGGGACCTGGGCTTGCTCAGTCTCTTTGTTGTTCTGTTGTCTTGGCCGGATACCACTCTCCCTTCACACCTTTTGTTCGGCATGCCCGCGGTCGGTACCTCTCTCCCCTGCGGAGTCTTCCCGCAGCAGGGCTTCGACACAATTCCACTCCATCGTCTTTTCGAGAACGTGGAATCCCACAACAAAGCTGTCCAAGGATCGATTCGGCCAGGCCCGCACGATGACTTTTTGCTGGAGCAATCTACCAAGGACTTCGAAGCGGGGTTTTGTTCGGCACCGTTGTCCTGGTCGGAGCTTCTTCGCCACACCAAGGGCAAACCGATTCGTTTGATACCGAGGTGCGTGATTTCTCAGGCTTCCGGGAAGCAGAGGGTGATCGACAACGCGGACCATGGAGGCCAGAGCGAGTTGAGCTCTGACTCTAACAAGTTGGTCTTGTGCTCAGCCCTCCGCCCGGCCCAGCATGTTTCCTTGGCAATGCGATGCGCCAGCCCGGCGGTCGCCCGCCGCCTGCTGGAGGAAGACCAGTGGGAAGGCGGCGGCGAAGACTGGCCGGACGCCTATCGCCATTGCCCTATGGACGAGGACCAGTCCAGGGCCTGCGTGGTGGTATGGTACCATAAGGATTGGACCCAGCCGGCGTACCAGGTATATTCCGGCCTCCTCTTTGGGCTCCCTTTGGCAGTGACCAGCTTCAATCGGCTCAGCCGCTTCTCCGAGGCGGTTGGCCGTAGGCTTGTTTGTGTCCTGGTCTCAATGTATTTCGACGACGCGCACCTTACCGACCCCGCTTCTGCGAAGGGCTCAGCCCAGTTCGCCTTCTCCGAGGTCAACAAACTTTTGGGCTCCCCCTTCGCGGAGGCGAAGCGACAACCGATGAGCACAGTCGGCGACTTTCTCGGGCTGGAGTGGGACTTCCGCGACGTGGGGTGTCACCACGTCGTTAGGTTCTGGGTCCGGTCCAGGCTCCAAGCCAAGGTCGAGGCCCTTTTGTCGCAGGCTGAGCAGGATAACTCCCTACCCCCAGGCTTGGCGTCGAAGCTGTATGGCATGCTCAATTTTCTCGAACAGGGGGTGTATGGCCGGATTGGCACAGGGGGCATCGGCGCCCTCAAGGAACGCCAGTACGAGGCAGCTCGGGAGTTGACCCCAGCGATTCGCTCATCATTCGAGTTTATCCGAGCCATCTTGACACTGCGACCGCGTCGGTCCGTGGAGGTGCTTCCCTCCCCCTGTGCCCGATTCGTCGCAGCTAGCGATGCCGCGGAGGACGAACCGCGCAAGGGCACGGGCGGTTTCCTGTTGCTCTGGCCGGGCAGCGAGCCCGGCCGCGAAGCCTTCGTGGCACAGGTCGATCGGCACACATATGATGCCTTTCTCCCGGGGGAGGTTAAAATCGCGCAGCTCGAGCTTTCAATGGTCCTCTTCGCCCTTACAGCCCGGGCTTCTACTTTTCGTTCTCGTCGTGGCACCTGGTACATTGACAACGTAGCCGCGCTTATGGCTCTTATTCGAGGGCGTTCCGATTCTCCCGACCTCGAGCGGCTGGCACACCTCATTCATGTGGCCCTCTTCTCTCTTCAAGTTTGGGTATACTGGGAGTGGGTACCCAGTAAGTCCAACTGGTCCGACTCGATCAGTCGATTGGGTGCGTCGGACCCGTGGGCTGCTTCTCGCGGCTTCTGCCTCCACCACGCTCTTTTTCCTACCGAGGTGTGGTCTCTGCCTCTGGTGCCGGCCATGCTGGTGTTTCAGTTTCTGTAGAAGTGCTTTGGGATCAGTGCATTGGGATATCGAACCGTGTTGGTTCGGGGTGGGGCTTGCAACCCGGAGGTGACCCGGGTTTGCTAGCCCCATTCATCCGGATGTTTTACCAAAGCATTTCCCGTAGTAACGGGTTCTACAGACTGGGACGGCAGAAAAGAGTGGTGTGTGCAGTAGCCTCTCTGATTCGATTTGCGGATGTATATCATGTGTAGAGTTTGGCAGGCTTGGGTGCACATGTATCATCTGCGATCGATATCATGCCTTTTGGTTCAAGCCTTGGCAGTTGAGCCAAAAAGGCAGGATTTGTTGCCCGCCCTCCCTCCCTTTTACTGAGACGATCCCCCGTGGGGCTATCCTCTCTCTTAGGGTGGGCAGCGAGAGTGTTCTCGACTGCATTCGGAAGGGATATCGAACCGTGTTGGTTCGGGGTGGGGCTTGCAACCCGGAGGTGACCCGGGTTTGCTAGCCCCATTCATCCGGATGTTTTACCAAAGCATTTCCCGTAGTAACGGGTTCTACAGACTGGGACGGCACTGGCGATGTGAAAAGAGTGGTGTGTGCAGTAGCCTCTCTGATTCGATTTGCGGATGAATTATGATACCGTATAATGGTATACTAGACAGTGTAATGTCTAGAGCCAAATGTGCACGCAGATAATGAACACATCATATACATGTAAAATGTATACACACAGTGTACCCACCGTTGTATGCGGCTACGGGCCGATACGGCACGTGCTGTTGCTGCTGCTGGTGTTGTTGTTGTGGTGGCAGTAGTAGTAGTTGTTGTTGTTGTTGCTGCAGTGCTGCTGTGGGTGATGATGATGATGACGACGACGACGGCGGCGATGGTGGGTGCAGGTCATTTCTTTCATAACTCCGTCTTTTTTCAATTCATTCTCACTGTGCTGTTGTGTTTGTACCATGATGGGTGGCCGCGCCAATATGACCATCATGAGAGCTTGCTTGTGCCAGGAGCAATGTCGTCTCCTATGTTACGGAAGCCAACGAGCTCTTGGAGGTCCGAGCTGGAGTTCCCTACCAGGAGCTGGTGCTGACACTCTTCACAATTGGGACTCTTCTGTTTCCGGTTCAGGATTTCATCGTCTTTCTTTGCGAGGGTGGGAGGACTTGGCCCATGAACGCTGTGGTCGTCATAAATGCCGAGTCATATCGAAGCCAGGTTGAATGTCGTGGCATCACCTTCCTGATGCGTTCCGTGGTGCGTAGGTTCGATTCTGCTCTTCTGCGCAAAGCTACACCGTTGGATCTGAGGCATGCTTCCAGCAACCTGGCCACAAACGCTTCCGAGATTCGCGCCAAGCTGGTCGGCAGCCTGAGCTTGTCACTTCAAGCGGGCACATGCTATTTGCAGGAAGCAGACAAAGCGAAGCCGCACAGCAGCCTTCTGCCTCGAGTTTGGCTCGGGGAACAGAAGGAGACTGCAGGGCACTGCACGACTACGTGGCTTAATGAAGTTTTTAATGCAGGAGTGCACTGTTTAGGCACAAGGAAGGGTACAGGAATAGGAAGGGTCTTGGACACCTACATCAGCTAGTACTGTGAAACAGGTGCGTCATGCAAAACAAGAAAAGCAGGTAAGTTCAGAACTAACAAATACGGCAACTCGCCTGGCAGGCTAATCAGGACACATAAAAGACAGATGTGTCGATCGATGAACAGCGATTCTATCAACGTCTGCTACGGTCTCTAACGGCAATGCAAGACACTGCGGCTGCCGAGGTCTTCGCCACTGCTACTACCGATGATGACTGTCTCCCCGGGCGAGCCAGTGAGGTCCCTGTAAAAGAGCATCGAGGGGTGTCGAAGCGTCCACGGACTTCGGGACTTCTCGTCGAGATTTCAAGGCGAATCAGTCAGACTGCTCGGTGGGAATGATGACCATGTGTTCTGCACGCAGGGATTCTGTCATCAGGTTAGAGTGTTGCTTTGTCGCTGGCAGTAAACCCTTAGACCTAGAGGGATGCCCAATCTGCCTTGTCCTTTTGCCGCATGGATGTCCTTGCTGTGAGGTTCTTAGGTTCGCAGAGTCGGAGAAAGAGTCCAGGTTCCACAAGCCCTCATGTTGTCCGAGGAATTGCCCCCAGCAAGTCTGCTGGATTGTTTAGATCTGCACGACGGCGCCGATGTCGAGCCGAATCTAGCCCCGCCCCCTGAGAGACGAAACCTATGCTCTGGCAGGTGCCAAATATCGTTTTTCAGCGCATTCCGGTGCCCACTTCCCTGGACGGTGACACCCCTGGAGTGCCACTGATCTGAATATAGTACCAGGGCATCATGAGTGGTCAAGCAAGACCCTCGTCGAAATACGCCCAAGATCATGCTTGAGCTGAAAGGCTGCGCATCTCAGGACTCCTGCGGAGACCTACGAGAACCGCTGGGTCAACGCCAGGCCTTGGGCTCAGAAGGAAGCTGAGATCTTCGTGTTGGCGATAGGCAAGTTGGAAACGTGTGACATACGATAACCGAAGTCCAGCGCATGTCCACTGCGTGTGTAGAGTTGAGCACAGCGATCTCAGCTGCACACCGAGGTTCCCATACAGCGGAGCCTTCAAAGTCTGCTACATGGACTCTTGTCCATGCGTTGTCAATAGGTCTACATGCATCTACATGCTAGGTTCTCTAGAGTCTAGTCTATGCCTTAGGGTGGGGAGGAGCACAGCTGCAATGCTGCGTGACGGAAGGAATGTGAGGTCATGTTTGGTTCGCTGTGTGTGGTAGGTGTGTCTTGCTGTGAATGTTATGTTCGGGTTGTGTGTGTTCATGTTCTGTGCTGTGTTTAAGCCGTTGATTTTGAGCCCGAGTCTAGTCAAGAGCATGACCTAAGGATCTCTCTGGAGCGGCAGCATGGCGACTAGCAGCGGCTCCTTTCGACGTGGTGGGCACCGGTGCCAACAGCTTCGAGCTGCCGGACTTCCGATTAAGGGGGGCTTTCTCTTGCGAGAGCAGCTCTCTCTAGCTTCTGAGAGCCGGAGGCCTCTCTGCCACCTCTTCGTCTCTCTGTGAAAATCCCGCCTCCCCGCCTTACCTCAAGGTCGTTTGCCAGCATCTTGAGAGTGCTTGCAATGCATGTTCTTTCAACCCTGCAAGATCGCCTAAGTTCCTAGCACCTGTTTCACTGGCAATTGGCAGCATGGCTATTTTAACTACATTATCGCAATGCCGGGTTGCAACAAAGTTCGATGGACAGTTGAGCTTCCTTCTCCTGGCAATTCGAAACCCCTCTTCTCAATCTTGCTGCTCTTGGAAGTTTGCAGGTTTGCTAAGTCTCTGACCTCATGTGGTTTGGGTTCTGCTGAAGTCTGCGGAAGCCGCCAAGCCGAAGCAACATTCGCCATGACTGGAAGGTTCTGGTGCCTGGATGATGTGACGGTTGACTGCACGCTGCAGGCTCCACTGCCACTGCCATCTCCCGGTCTTCTCGCAGAGTATATAAGCTTCCCGTGGAACTGCCACCACTGGTACCTTCTCCAGAGAAGTTGTGCAGCGGTTTTCTGGACTTGGTCCACCGGCATAAATCTTGCACGGCTCCGACATTGTTGAACTAAGGGGGATGTAGTAGGCGGTGCAAGAAGTCCTCCATCCACCGACTGGACTGAGTATCTTGTGGGATGATGATCCCTGGCTCTTTAGAGGTGCTTGCATGGGTTGGCTGAGCGGCTAGTCTGAGGTCTTGCCTTGAGCTCCTTTGCTGCGCTGTCGCTGATGTTGGCACATGACTAGAAGTTTCTGGAAACGTCATGCATGCAGTGGTCGTCAACAACGTTGCAATGGTCCACAGTCAGCGTTCAGCTAGCGTTACACTCAACTTTGCAGTTAACGTTGCAGACAACGTTACGAAAAGCTGGCAGGGGCAGCACTTCGGAGTGTTCAAGAAAAGCAAGTTGCCTGTGCTTCTTGTATCTCATGCCCGCAAAACTCCCATATGCTGCCCCGGCCAGCACTTTCGTAACGCTAGCTGTAAATGTAGTTGAACGTTAAATGAACGTATGTGTGTCGACTGAGGTTTTGGCATTCATGAGCAACTGAGAGACTCAGGGGGGATGTGCCGGTGGTTTCAGAAATGCTGACAGGAGCAGCCCTTGGAGTTTTCAGGCACAGAAAACAAGAAAAAACGAAGCACGAAGACAACAAACAAACATTAGCACCTGCCAGCCGTTAGAGGGACTGTATTCGTGGTAGTAGGTGTGGTGGTAATGCTAATTACTACTGTCATTATCATTATTATTGACTTTCGTATTATCATTATTCTGATCATGAGAGTATTACCAGCAGTAGCAGAGGTCGTGGTTGTGGTTGTTTTGTTGCTGTTGCTTGTTGCTTGTTGCCTGTTGTTAGTTGCTTGTTGCGTGTTTCGTGTCGCTTGTTGCTTGTTGCTTCTTGTTGCCTCTTGTTGCCTCTTGTTGTTGTTGTTGCTGTTGCTGTGGGTGTTGCTGTTGCTGTTGTTGTTGTTGTGGTTGCTGGTTGTTGGTTGTTGGTTGTTGGTTGTTGGTTGTTGGTTGTTGGTTGTTGGTTGTTGGTTGTTGGTTGTTGTTGGTTGTTGTTGTTGGTTGTGGTTGTGGTTGTGGTTGTGGTTGTGGTTGTGGTTGTGGTTGTGGTTGTGGTTGTGGTTGTGGTTGTGGTTGTGGTTGTGGTTGTGGTTGTTGTTGTTGTTGTTGTTGTTGTTGTTGTTGTTGTTGTTGTTGTTGTTGTTGTTGTTGTTGTTGTTGTTGTTGTTGTTGTTGTTGTTGTTGGTTTGTTGTTGTTGTTGGTGGTGGTGTCGTTGTTGTTGGTGTTGTTGGTTGTTGCTTCTGTTGTTGTCGTTGTCGTTGTTGTTGTTGTGGCTGTTTGCTGAGAGCTGTTTGCCTTTACTGTTGGCTCTTTGCTGTTAGCTGTTTGTGGTTTGCTGTTTGATGATTGTTGTTTGCCGATCTCTGGTTGCTTTCGCTGTTAGCTGTTTGCGGTTTGCTGTTTTTGTGTGTGTGTGTGTGTTTTGTATTGTCTGTGTTTTGTTTTTTTGTTTTGTTGGTGTTGGTTTGTTGTTGTTGTTGTTGTTGCTACAGACAAAAGCAGCAGCCCGTAACTTATGTTAATTAAAATCAATTGGGAATGCTTCCGACGAACGCATAGGGTGCTTGCAGAGTTTTGTGGAATGCAAGCCAAGGCTTACACAGCATCTGCCCCATGATAGGAATGCCGCGTGGGCTGGGTGGTTTTTTATAGAAGAGAGGGGGGTCAAAACAACAGACGGGGCTCTTGTTTTTTTGTCTCTAGCAGCAGGTAGAGACGTACCTTGTTGTTGTTGTTGTTGTTGTTGTTGTTGTTGTTGTTGTTGTTGGGTGTTGTTTCTTGACGGCTGGGAGCTGTTGCCGGCAGGGTAGTGCGGAGCATGACTAGGGTGATGGTATCTGCTTAAATACCGCGCTGGATATTTTGCAGCCTTCAGATCGCTGGGCTGGGCATGAAGACCAACTGGTACCTCACCGCCCGTGCCCCAGGAATTGTGCAGAGCTTTCCCGCGGCCGCAGGTTGTGTGACATTGCAGCTTCTTTCCCTGACGCGGCCTCTCTGTGACAACGCAAACCCTGAACTCGATTTTCATTTTGAGATCTCAGGTGCCCTTAACTTTCAGACTGTTCTGAACGGCTTTCAGTCCGAAAAGTTTCGTAAACAATGTGTGGTCGAGGTTGTTCCAGTCAACGGTGTGTGTGGCGCCATCGACTATGCTGGCTCCTTTGGCCAGAACGTTTCCGTGATCACGTCAGAGGCCAACACTGCCGTTAAGAACTTTTCCATAGCTTTCGGAGCTGAGATTCCGGAGTTCCGGTTTTGGTGTTGACTCTCGTGGCTTGAGGGCATGCTCCGTTTGTCACTTTGATGCAAGACGTGGCCTTGAAGAGACCTAACGATCTCTAAATCCTTTAGTGTAAGGTGATGTGGCCCTAAGCACAGCAAGCCGTCTGGTCGTGGTATGTCACGCACTGTTCTGCCTGGCCATGCTGTTTTGCTTGTTGTATGTGCCGCAGTGACACAGCCTACATGCGTCCGAAGATACTAGCCCTACACGCTGCCATTGTCGTTCCAAGGGAACTTGTTCCATGGCTCGGTGGTGGCCACAGATTCTGTTGTGCGGAAATTGTACATGTCATAGTTTCGTCAGACCATGCCGTCTCATGTGAGCACGTTGCATCACGTGGCATCACATTACACATGCTTCCTCAAGCCGTTTCACCGTTATCTGCATGACCTCAAAACACTCTGTTATGCAGCAAGTTGCAATCCACGACGTCTTGGGTCGTTTGTGCGTGTTGTATTCCATTATGTCATTATGTAGCACGTGCGCTGCAACGCTGTAGTTGCCTACCAATTTCCGTTGATCTGCCCCGTATAGCAGGGCACTGCATTGCAATACTTCAGACACGATTGATTCTTGGGGCTATCCCTTGTCAAAGGTTTACTGTGCAAGCTTCTGGGGCTGAATATTGCATTCCTCAAGCCAGAGTAAATCACTGTCCTGAACAGGCTGGTAGCGAGTCCTCAGCCACGCACAGCCTGGGTCCTCCAGTGAGTGCCGGTGCTGGCACGTTCGCTGCAACTGGGCTCGTTTGTGGCTCAGAAATTCCGTGTCAGAACATTCTGAACTATGGTCCCAAACTCGCTGCTTGCATCTGGATGTGGAAGCCATGTTAGGAGACTAGGCAAATCCCACATGAAACACAGCTAAAATCACCAAACAATCAATTTCATAGTCCAGCACGCGCAGAATCAATGATCCCTCACTATCCCAGTGGACTTCTCTGTGTGTTGGACATGTTGGACGTTCTCCTGCTCTGCCACGTGAGGTATGCTTCTGCCCTGGGAGCCTTGGCAGCCTTCAGATGTGTTTAAGGAGAGATGCATCAATGACTCCTGGCCATCAGAAGTCCCCGAGTCTCGACGCTGTAAACGCCGAGCACCCCAGACCCCACCCAGTACAGATGCCTACTGCATTGATTCCGATTCCCCGAAATTCAGGTACAATGCAGACAGCTCGGCCGCCTCCTGCACAGCGTCCGAGGTGCATGCGGTCATGTGCTTTCTACGCTTACCAGCGTAGGAGATCGCCAGGACTTCGTGCAGCTCACCGGTATCCTCTTCGTGACGGAAGCTGTGCCAGTCCAGAATCCGCATCCTCAGCCCCATGGGCAGCAAAACATCCTGCAAGATCGGCGAAAGTCCTGTTCCTAGATCGCCAACCTAAACGTCTTGATCTGGAGGTCTAAGCTGGATGCAGCCTCAAGGCATGACAAGCATACTTCGGAGTGAAACCCGGTTTCGTTGGTGCCTGATGTTGCATGCCGTGTGTGTAACATCATAGCAGCACAATACTGCGTGTTGGCTTTTTCTATGTTTTCCCACGGGCTGCAAACCAGGGTGCATCCACAGGAACACATCTCAAACTTGAAGCACTTGCAGTGGAACCGAAACGGCCTAAACCCTCCACCCACTTCTGCCGCAAATGTAGTTTTCACTAAGCAACACGCACCATGTATTGCATTGATTCGAAGGCTCCGCTTCACCCTTCGGGTACACTGCGGCAGCACCACTGAAGGGGGCTGCCCGGCCACAACAGAGCCCAGGACAAGTGGACCTTTCCGTGCTGACGACTCATTGAGCTTTTGGGGCACCCTACGAAACGTTCGAGCTAGTTTTCTTGGAAGAGCCTGGTGTTGAGAAAGATTGCAGTGTGTTCGCTACTGCATGCACAAAATCCCAAATTCGTTCATAGCTCGTCTGTTCAAACTGAAGATTACGGAGATGCTGCGCTTTTGTTGGGACTTGTTGGTAGCTTCAGACAGCCTCTAGCCGCTCTAGCCTTTAGCGATGAGCCCAACAAGGAGGAGCAACAACAGGTGTGCAACCCAACAGGAACACCTGAGTTTGTGTCGTCGGAAACAGACTGCAGCGTTCCCATTGGCAGTTGAAAGCTGTTTCTGCACTTCGGAATTACATTGTTTTGCTCCTAAGAGTAGAGATCTTGCAGGTGGAGCCGTAGCAGAATGCGTGGGTTGGGTCAGGAATAGGGCGGCCGCAAGGCGGCGAATGCACTCAATAAGCAATGTCCAACACCGAGTCTGGACCCTCGACCCTCTTTGAAGTCCTGGATTCCCGAGCTTCGTGAGCCTAGTAAATCCCGTAGGATCAAGATTGTCGATGCGGCTTCCAGCAACAATCGTGCCTCGGTCATGAGTGCTTGCAGTGCTTCCGCGCCGCGACTTCCGTCAAGGTGGCGCTGCGAATGAGCGGTCAGCTGTGAGAAGCAACAATACCCAACCTCAACCTGCTTGATTGCACCCAGGCCCAGCTTTTGATACCCTCAGCGGCTGCCGGGCTGCAGCCCAGTCAGCCAGCTGCTGGGCTGAATTGTGAGAACAGGTCCAAGACTGCTGGGTGCGGTCCTATTGGGGTACGGTAGAAGGGCAATTGGAATACCAACGATGTCAAACACGACTCCTCCTGAGAATCTGGCTGAATCTAGCTTGCTGCTGCAACCATCTCGACCATCGGGGCTCTGAGCATTTGGCACAGAGCAGCGTGTCAAGTCGAGCCATTTCTTTGCTGGCGCCTTTTTCATTCACATTGCTGTAGCTGTGCAGGCATGATTCCAATAGGGGCAAAACTCTGTGCCCCCTGCTATTCTGCGACACTGGGCGCCTGCGTGCTTCTCTTGCTCGCAGAGTAACAGGGGGAGTGCTATGCGGCAACATCTCGCGCCACATCTAGGAACGGTTTATGCTGGCAAGCCATCCCTTTCCAGGCTATATGTCCCCGGAGAACTGTGCCAGCCCCACACGCTGCACGCTGCCTCCCGCTGTGGCCAGCAGCACGGTGCCAGCCCCTTGTCAGAGGCAGTGCGAAGAGCACTGAGTCGACCTTTGCGAGAACCGAAGAGGAAAGCCAATTGTGAAGTTTTTTTGAAGATTGATCATGCCTACATAAGAAGTTCCGTCTTGGTCTTGGCCATTGGTCCTTGGTTCGAACGAAGATGCTTGCAAAGGAGTGGGCGAATCTCAGACTCTTCCCGACATTCGAGAACCAAGCGCAGCACCTTGGCTTCCTCTGCGGCGAGCATCTAATCACGAAATGCGGGAGATGTTGTTTACAGATTTGGGCAACAGAGAGTTTAGGGGGCCTTTGCTCCTGTTGTGTCAGGGATCTAAGTATCAGCACAGGAGCGGACCCCCCCCTTTCCCTGATCAACTCCATTGTCTCTCCATCCCCGTTTCAGATCAAGGGGTCAGTACAACGGACAGCAGAGCCGCAATCATACGGCAACATAGCCGCAGCGTACATCTGCACAACTGAAGACAGCAGCATTGCCTAAGATTCTTTCACGTTCACCGCAGGCATCTTGTCCGACTCGTTGCTGGCCAAACAGCCGTTTCAGCGTTGCTTCTTGCATTGCGGAACGAACTCTTCTGCGGTCGTTCTGCGCAGGCTCAGGTCTTATGACAATGCATGCGAACTCAATTTCTCTGCCAAACTTGATCGAGAATATTGGAGAGCCTGCTTGCAGCATCAGCTCACAGTTGCGATGCATCCTTCCGTCCCCCTAGCTTTTGTCCCCTCTGCTCTCAAGTACTTGTAGCAGGAATTACCTTTGGTACAGCCCAGGAAGCCCATGCTCTACGACGTCTGCTTGCGCCTTGGCCTGAAGTTGAAAGGCATTTGGCCTGCGGGGTTGCCAGGCCAAGCCTCCAAGCCTCCAAGCCTCCCACCTGCTTGCAGTTCAGAAACCTTCCCGCAGGTGCCTGGGCTCCTGCGACCAGTCGGCGAACTGGTTCAAGGCTGCAGGGGAACGTTTGCAATGATGGCCTGTGGGAGTTTGGGAACACCAAGAGGTTGAAGCTGCGAAAGCTGCCAGATTGACCAACGTGTCAGGTCTGGTTAGAGTTTAAGGGTGTTTAGGGCTTCGTTTTTTTTTTTTTTTGGGGGGGGGGGGGCTCGGGTTCTTTCTGGCTTAAGGTTTTGGGTTTAGTAGGCTGGGGATTTAGGGCGCGCCCGGGGATTGGGCAAGCCACTCGTCAGATCCCCTCAGGCCCAAGCCGTGAGTATTTCGAACGCTATGCCGCCTCGGCCTGACCGGCCGGCAGCAGTGTTGCGAGCATCAAGACTAGTCGTACCAGTTGTAGTTAGGAAGACGAAGCAGGAGCAGTAGTAGAAGCAGCAGTAGCGGCAGTGGCAGTGGCAGTAGAAGTAAGAGGGGATTAGGTAGTGGATACTGCATGTCTTATGTGTTTGAGCATGCAGGACTCTGAGCCAGCTGAGCTGCGACAGTTAAGAATGGGAGTGTAAATGCAAGCATGTGGCATGGAAAGATAATGGAAAGTATACATTATACAAATGCGAATTTCAGTCAGTGTTCAACCGCGTTGAAGTCGGACGGTGGGCCAGAAGCTTGCATCCACGCTCCATGATAACTGGAAAGTACATAAAGTGATTTCGAGAGAGATCGCAAGGCGGGAAGCCTACAGACCTCCGTCATCCAGGCCGGCTGCAAGAGACGCAAGGGTTCGGTAGAGATGATGGAGAGACAAAGGCGCACACATGGGCTGCTACGGTTTGTGTCTGTTTCGCGGCACACTCATCCCTAGTTCTGGCATCGCTCGGGCTTGGCCTGCACGAAACGAGGTTTTGCCGCAGCCGACTGTGGCCAACAAGGCGGGGCTTGACGTTGTCAAAAAGATGGCCGGTGGCTTTCGGACTCCAGACTCTTCTGAATCACAGTGCTGCGAAAGGTTCTGGATCTGCAGCTGCTGGGCACGCAGGGTGGTTGGTCACAGGCCACTGGATCTGCGCCGGAACTGAAGCCTGGCCGCCTCGCCTAAGATCAAGGAAGTTTCCAATCTCCTCTTGTAGCCTCGAGCCGCTGCAGCATTCGCCTTGTTTTGAAGCCTCCTTCACAGTATCTCTGAGTGTGTGCCCGGGGCTTTAGCTTGTTAGGCTTGTGTTGTGTGTGTCTGTTTTTGTTGCGTGTTTTGGCGGAGCAGTCGGAGCAAGGAAATTCCTGGAGGATGACGAAGGGGTGTTTGGCGCCACTCGCTTGCAAAGCAAGTGCTTCCTGCCAAAGTCGCTGCAAAGTAGTGATCGTGGTTGTCCTGGGCTGGCTGTTGTTTGTCGCTCAGTGCAGCGTCATGGTCGGAGATTTTGCGGCGGCAGTAGCCTGCAATCGGGGCAAAGGTCCCCGAACTCGCCAAGGCTTCAGAGTGCTTCTCACGCACACAAAGCTTGCAGAAACTTGGCTGCACGGGATGGAAATCGAAGTGGGAGGCCGTGGCAGCCAAACCAAAGCGCAAAGTGGCTTGGTGGCATGCGACTCCAAAATCCAGACACCGCAAACTGCAAACAATCCCAAATCCCAAAGCGCAAGCTTCCAGGAGCTTGGCCGGTCACTTCTGTCTGACCAGCACCGACTGCAAGGCTCAGCTCTCAGAGCTCTGAAGATATCCCTCTCATAGAAGGACACGGGAAAAGGAGGAACAAGAGCTGCAGAAACAGCAAGAATAACAAGAGCTGGCATACGGAAGTTGTTAGAGCTGACATTCGCAAGTAGGAGTGCAACTCTTCCTGACACTGCGTAGGATGAGGACGTCGCAGTTGCTTCGGTGCTTTCCACTGCCCATCGGAGGGTATGAGCGAGAAGCTCGTCTAAGCCTGAAGTCAGCGTCAGGGCCGCAGCCCTGCGCGAGATTTTCTGACGCTGCGGCGCTGCGTGCCTCCGATTGAATGCTTTGCGCGCCGAGGCTCCGACATCAAGCGGGACAGACGGCCATGTGTGGGAGGATGTCCGCTTTCTCTTTGCAGGCCCCCCAACCCTTCCACCCAAAAACTTCTGTTCTAAATGCCAGACCTACTCGCAAGCCAGATGACTTAATCGAGCGCAGGTATGTACGCCGTGTGCTACTGCGAGCAGCAGCAGCTTGTCGGAAAAAGAGAAAGGAGACATGAAGCATGGGAAGTGCCTGTGGGTGCTTTGTTCCTCATTGCCCGGCAACCAAAGGTGCCGTAGCCCTGTGCAGTGGAGCCTCTTGGAGTGGAAACTCGTCGAAGGCCCTTCGAGGCCTGCATCTTCATTTCATCATTGCAACTACCCTAAAAGCCGAGTCCTCAGCCAGGCACCACAGCTGGCAGCGCTATCGGGGTCTTCTCTTCGACCTGCGACTCTTCGAATTTGGTCAGGTCGGGGAGCTTTAGAGGTGTGTTGCAGTGGCGCCCAAAATCACTTGGTGGAGCACTGTCCGTTTGTTCAGCACTACGCTTCCTCTGTCCTCTGCCGACTGCGACGGTTCTGTGCCTCCTGCAGCTGACAAAAGGGACGCTCACGGACTGCTGTTTGTGGTCAATAGAAGCGACTTCTGCCGCGACTCCGCGGCCGGGCCGAGGACGCTGAGTGGTTTTGGGCTTGGTGCTGCGAATCGTCTGGCTGCCTTTCCTGATGGGCGAGAAGGTCCGGGGGGTTGTGAGGTCTTGTCCTGTGCTGAGATGGCGGTGTGGTGGGATCCTACCTTGGGTTGGGGTGCAAGCTCGTAGGCCGCTGGTGGAGAAGGAGTTTTGAACAACTGGGAGTTGGCCCGCTGAGGCAGCTGCGGTGGTCCGGCCGTGGCTGCCCAGGTCTCTGTGCCTTGGCCCAAAATCTCACGGAACCCCCTGCATTCCAGGCGCAAGGTCTCAGAAGATCAGGGCTCTGCAAACTACGTGTCGACTGCGGTTGTAAACTCGCTGGAGCTTAGGTCCCGGACACAGCGCCCCAGCAGCTCGGGGACGCCTCCGGCGGTGGCCTGCTGTCGCTGACTCGTCAGCCAGCTGCATTTGACGGTTGATGGGTGCAAAGTGACATGGAGGATCTGGGCTTTTTGAGGCTTTGATTGTTGGAGCCGTTCTATTGTCATGATCCAATCGCGAGTCTGGAAGCACAGCAGCATACCACGTGCACGGGACGCCGGACCCTCCCACAGTGCAAAGGTTTTTTGAGTTGCGCTTCTTCTCGGCATCCCCGTCTGTAACTCTGAAGGCACTTACGACGGCCTTCTGGTGAGTTGCAGTCAGCCTCATGGGCTGACCGGTACCACGGAGTTTGCGGGCTGGCTGCAATTGAAGCAAAGAGCTCGGTGGCCAACAGCATGTATCGGCTTTGGTTTGAGGCCTTTGAAGCTTGAGTGGAGAGCAGTTTGGGGGTTGATTGGCATGCTTTTGGTACATTGGCCAAGTGGCTCGGGTGTTCCTATAGCCGGTGCACTCCTCCAACCAAGGTCAGTTTCTCGGGGGTGACCAGCTCCAACTGTGACTACTGCGCTGGGACTGCCACTGGACCAAGCTTCGCAACTGTAGAAGGACGGGTTCAGGAAAGGACATCGGGGGCCTGAAGTTCAACATTGCGCTCAGTTTTTCGTCAGACATGTCCTGATAAGTTGCCTTCTGTCATCACTCAAGTCAATCATTGCTCTTCTATAGGCAGAGGTCGAGATTTCAGTCGTTTACAACTCCCCTGTGCAAGGGGAAGCTTCAAGCCGCTCAGGTCAATGCGAGGCCCCACCGAGTCATCCGCTTGCCGTCCTCCACGCGCTTCGACCGTTTCTGAATTGTGCCATTCGTAATAACCAGAGCTCGGGTGCTTCAGGTACTGCATGTTTCGCAGTCTTTTCTTGCATCGTCCCAATGTCTGGGACCCTCCACATTCCACATCCAATAGTAATGTGGGCTCGAGGCTGTTGAAGTTCCACAAGCTTGCCCAGGCAGTTCGTCCTCGCGCTGGAATACTCTGGCACCTTCCCTCAATTTGGGCTCTCCGGAGCCATGTGGTGGCGGTCAAACGAAGCCACATGGCAGGACCAGCAGAGGTTGCTGCTGTCGGGGGGGTTCTTGCCGGGATGGTAGCGACTGCTTCCTTGCGTCTTGCTCTATGCCCCACCCTCGCAGGCAGTTTTGCTGACGGCAGCACGTCATCCTACATCCTCCCTCCCCCGGCGTGCAGGACTTGGTGGCGATGTCTCCCGGAGTAGTGTCGGTTTGTTGGAGCGCCACGGCGTCAGGGCCACTGGGAGGCAAAATGTGGCCACAGAGCCGTGGTTCAGGGTGATGTTTGGTGACCGAAACGCCTGCAGAGCCCAGCATGCTGGTGATCATGGTGTCGTGGTGGCGGTGGTGTGCTGCCTATGCTGCCACTCCTGCTCCTGCTGCTGCTTTGACTGCACTTACTACTGTACTGTACTGCTGACGTTGGTACCGTTGGTGTTGGTGCTGATTCCACTTGCGGAGCTCGGCGCTGATCATGCTTGTGACCAGCTTTTCCTTCGCATCAAAAGCCTGTCTAAGTCGAAGAGGGTTGTGATAGAACCAGTGAAGCTAGCTCAACGCAAGTACTTCTGGCAATCCTAGTGATCATGATGACAGTCTGATATAAGAACCCTAAACCCGCATAGTACAACCCGTATAGTAGCCCTTAAAGGATCTTAAAGGAACTCTATTCCCTACAAGAACGAGAGACAGGAGGCTCAGGAGACGGTTCAGGACTTGCGGATTAAGCTGTGGAGCTGAGGAAGTCGAGGATCTAGCAGCTTCGGTTCTAAATCCTGAACCCCTAATTGTAGGGGCCTTATTGATTAGAAGTAGGGTTCTTTTAAGGGGTCTATAAGGGTACCATAAGGGATCTATAGGGGATTATAATAGAGCGGTCTCAATAATTAGATTAGGGTTTGGGGTTTTTATACTATAATAAGAAACCCCCAAATAGTAGAAGTAATTGTTAAGGCCCCTATATTGCCTGAAAGCTGAGAAACTCCTGCCGGTGCAGTGTTTAACGAACGAAGCCGTTCCGGAACATGTAGACAAGCTGTGCCACATTGGACAGTACCTCCATGTAAAATGTAGCTAGCGACACGTCTGTGACTGGATCGGCGAGTCCGCGATGTTGCCTGAAACGTTCGTGGTGTGTGCTGTATGCAGCAACAATTGGCGCGGAATCCAGGCCGCATGGCCGTATTCGGTGCTAATGGGGTGCCTGAAGTCTTAAACAGCTTTGGTCGATCATCGCATGGAGGAGGAGCCGGAGGAGGAGGCCGCGGAGGGTTATTGGGGGCTGTGTGGCAGCAACCCATGGGGCGACACCCTATCCTGTCTCCGGCGCCGTATGAAAATCTTAGCTGGATCCAGTGTCAAAGCACTGGACACATTGGCCGCAAAGCCTGGGCTTCTGCATTGCAGAACACTTCCACCACCTCGTCGGCGAAGTGCATGTAGATGGGGGAGAGGGCAGTGTGAACTCCCACATGTTGAGGACCAAAACCCTAACCCGTAAACTTCCCCAAACCTAATCCTCAACCAATACCCGTCAAAATTGCTATAATCGCTACAAGTCACTTCATACACATCAGACGCCTTAAACGCGTAAAGCCCTAATCCCCTAAACCCTAAACCCTGAATCCTAAACCCAAACCCCGACCCCTAGCGGCGAGGTCGCTGACCGACTTTGCCTCGTTCGCCGGTCGCCTTGAAATTCTAGAGGCCCGGTTTTGCGGAATCCCGGGTGCGAGTACTTTCCAGGTATCCTGTTTGAAGGGCCAATGTCGTTGAAGTCGGCAGCAAGGTTGAACCCGGGAGCCAGACTACGGCTCGAGAAACTTGAAAAGGTAGGCCTCGGGCCCTGTCTGTCACTCATAGCGTGAAAAATCATGACGCCGGGTCGGAGAAAGATTCCACAGGCACCCCTCTTCGGCGCGACAGTGTATCCCACGGCGCTGGAAGAAGGCCGGCTGCTTCTGGTGTTTCCCGTGAGGACTTCGGCACTCCAATATCGATGCTTTCCCTACGACTCGGCAAACCTTAACACTTGTTTTGGCAAGCTGAGACAGTGCTAAAGAAGGATCGATCTCGCTCGTTGTCTCTCGCTGATTCTCTGTGTAGTCGTAATACAGGCGTGTCTGCACCGATGGTTGTGGCGTTCACGACCCAGAACCATGCAAGCAGCTTGGCTCACTTTTTCTTACTTGTTGCGCATCATATTGAACTCCTTTGCCGGACAGCTCGTTTCAGATAGCGCGCGAGTCTGGCCGCTCTGAGGTTTTCATATTTTTGCGGCGTATTCTTGTATATGCTTTTTTGAGTCGGTTTTCGCAAGGGTATTGCGTGCAGATGGGTGGGTGGGTGGGTGGATGGATGGATGGATGCATGGATAAGTAGATGGATGGGCAAAGGATGAATACACCTGCGTAGGTAAATACCCTGACAGATAGACAGATACTTATGTAGACAGGCAATAAGATAGTTCGCAAAAGTTGGTTTTCAAACGTCGCTACACTTCGTAGAATCATGAAGCCCTCGCCATCGGATGTTGCTCTGAGGATATTCTGTGGAGCTCGGCGAGAGTCGTCTGCGCCTGCGCTTTCCGCATCTTTCACTGCAGCCCGCCAGTTGGAAGTTGTTTTTGCTTCCTTTGCTACCACTGCAATGCAGCTGGCACAGGTTGTTTCGGCCCGTAGAAAATCAGGCAGCCACTACGTCACTGTGTGAAAGCTTTTCAAAACGCAGGCAGTTCTACAACACAAGTTTCAGAAGTCAAGGTGTACATATGGAATGATGGGAGGTATTCGGCTTGTGTTTAGGGTTTTTTGGAAGAAGATTGTGTAGTGCGGAAGGCAAGCTGTACTTGTAATTTAACTTTCAGATTTTGTCGTGGTGTGCACATTCTACATTCGGGACTCTTCATGCGGGGAGTATTCTCTACGGCAGTGGGCCTGAGAACCAGCATCAACATAAGTGCAGCATGTTTTCAGCCGTTGCTGTGATTGCTGTTGTATTGATTGGCAAGTTTGAAATTGCCAGCCCTTACCACGGCCTTGTGCTTGCTTTCATCTTGGAAGTTGGCCGAGGCTGAAGCCCGCAGGGCCCGAAGGCTCTTCAAGCGCAGTGACTGTGGCAGACGCCACACAAAGCAGCTGTGTCCTGGCTTGTGTGTATATACACTGCAGATTCCATGGATACCTTGTTTACGACGCGGCGGACCGGTTTGGGAGTCAGACAGACGCACAGCTGACGAGAACCCAACGACAGCAAGAGCGATGAGACTCGTCAGAATAGCAGCATGCACGGGCGACACGCCTGCTCACAGACGACAAACCAGGTGGCCGCATCCTCCGCGAGATCTGGTCTGAGGATGCGGACGGCTTTCCAATGCCAAAGGCCTCAGCAAAACAGTCAGAGCAGCATTGTCAGTGTGAGCAGTATCGTTACCACGTTTTCCTCACCATCATTCATCACCGGCCGCACAGGTAGGGGTGGCAGCAAAAACATTTGGATGAGAAGTTTGTAGGAGGGAGTAGCATGCAGTTGCCGAATGTTGTCATGGTCATGCTTGCTGTCGCTGTCGCTGTCGTCCTCGTCGTCGTGGTTGTGCTTGGGCTTGTGGTCATGGTCGTGGTGGTTTTGGTGGTGGTGGTGGTGGTGGTGGTGGTGGTGGTGGCGGTGCTGGTTGCGGTTGCGGTTGTGGTTGTTATCGTTGTTGTTGTTGCTGATCGTTATAAGCCTCTCGGCTCAGGAAAGGTCAGGCTAGTACAGTTGCCTTTTTCCTTTCTTGCCATGGCATTTGTCAGCGCCTGAGCAGTCCCGGTCCCAAGTCCGGGAGGGAGTGCTAGATTTACAGCTCTCTAACATCTCCCAGAGGTGAGGGTTGTCGGTATTGCGAAGCCGACAGGAGCCGTACTCAACATGAGTGCTGCGAAACAGCCTAGTGGTTCGACCAAGCATCAGCCCGTTCCTAAAGGGAAGGGTAAACGCTCTTATCAAAGGGCAGCACGTAAAGCTCTGCTTGAAGGTAGTGCGGTCTACAAGGGAAGGACGATGTCGTCAACAGAGCTTGGAGTTGCTCCGGCACATGTAAAGCCCACCAATCCCGGCAAAAGGACTCGGCCTTCGAAATTTACAGAAGATAAGAATCTCAGCTATCTATCCTGGAACGCAGGATCTCTCACAACAGCAGTTTGGGAAGAGTTACTCTCCGTACTGCAAAGTGCCGCATTTCAGGATGTGAAGCTGGTAGCAATCCAGGAAACGCACTGGAGGGGCTCTTGGCAATTCAGCAAGTCAGGCTGGCACGTGATCAGCTCTGGTTCCACAGGGGAGAAGGGAGCCGGGGTCCTCATAATGGTGCACTCCACGCTGTGCAAGTCACAGGATCTTCGCTACAACGAGGCTGTTCCAGGAAGAGTTCTCCAGGTCCGGGTGCCGAGCAACGGCATCTCACTGGATGTCTTCAGCTGCTATCAATACGTTTGGCGCTCTAAGGAGACAGTTGCTCAGAATAAGGAAGCCCGGAAGCAGACCCTTCACGCCCTAAGTAAGTCCATCCGAGCTGTTCCCAATCGCAACACTCTCCTTGTGCTAGGAGATTTTAACTCCTCGCTCAAAACCGACAACAAACACGTAGGGCCATGCACGATCCAGGCTTGCAGACTCGGGCATCGCGGATCTAAGGATCTCCAGACCCTACTGTCGGAGCACCAGCTAGTCGCAACCAACACTTGGGGAGTGCATAGACCAGCCACCCACGAACAAGGCAATTCTGTTTCACAGATTGACTTCTCGTTTGTCAGGATTGCACAGTCCCAAGGCCCCGCCAGGTTTTGCCGGCCACTAAGGACCTTCCCAGTTGCATCCTGGAGGGATGGTAGTAGGCATTTCCCTCTTCTTGGTAAACTGAGGCACAGCAGGAGATACTCCGCCCAAGCCTCAAAACCCTATGACCAGCAGGCAATGGAGGACTGCTACAGACACCGCTCCCCGAAAATACAGGCATTTGCCAGGGAGGTAGACTCCCTCCTTCAGGATCATCCCCAAACCTGGCAGAGTCTCCATCAAGCAATGAACTCAGCCCTCGCGACTCACTTTCCCAAGAGAAAGGAAGCAGCACAAAGATCAGATCTCAGCATCTGGGAAGAGCGCTCTGCGTTGCGCTCACTCCCACTAGCAGTCAAGGTCTTAGCAGAGTTCTTGCCCGAGCTGCAGGTCCGTATGGTGTTCCGATGCTGGTGCACGTTTTCCCAGCAAAGTGCACAGGCGAGGGTAGCAAAGCGTCACAAGCAGGAGCGGCGGCGGCAGGAAATAGATGAACAACTCCAGCAGGCAGAGCTTAAGTCCAAGCAGGACGGGAGTCATTCCCTTTACAAGGTAATCAAGCGCTTCAGGTCGGGGAGGCCCCAGGAAAGAGTTCAGCTTCGTGATTCTGAGGGTCGCTTCCTTACTGCCAAGGAAGAAAGAAGACATTTAGAGGAATATTCCCTAGACCTGTTTGGAGCAGGGGATGACTTCCCGCTTTCAGGGATACAAGGCAGCCTGCACATCACTGAGCAAGAAGTGCAAGAACAGCTTGGCACAATAAAGCTGGGCAAGGCGGTTCCTAAAGAGAGTCCTCCCGTAGTAGCCTGGCGCTCCCTAGGTCCCCAAGCAATCCGGCTAATCTCGGACACCCTTAATAGGGAAGTCACTGCAGGAAGGCTCTCGGACAGTGTCACCTCGTCACAGATCTCCTGGCTCCCAAAGCCTCCCAAGAAGCCAGACAAACCAACCTCACTCCGTCCGATCGGGGTGATAGCACCTGAGGGTAAGGTCCTAGCCGGACTCGTGAGGAAGAGACTCAAGTCTACCCTCCAGCTAGCAATGACCGGCGTCTCTCAGTTCGGCTTTGTCCCAGGCAGGGGCACAGAGGAGGCTATCTGCAAGGCCCTCACACATGTGGACCAGGCCAGGTTCAGACAGGCCCTCACCACCAGGGCTGCAGGTAAGGGACAACAGGGGCTCAAGCTCAGAGGCAGTCTCACCATGAGCGTGGACATGAGCAAAGCCTTTGACACTGTCAACAGGCTGCGACTAAGAGAGGCCCTGGAAGCCGAACAAGCAGATCCTCTTCTGATAGAGGTGGTAGGCCATCTCCACATCAAAGCCTTGTACAAGATGACAGCCAGCGATCAGAGCTTTGAGATAGCCACACGCAGGGGAATCAAGCAGGGATGTAAGCTAGCACCCTCTTTATTCGCCTTTGCATCAGGGCTTCTCTTTAGGAAGCTCTCTGGGAAAATCAGCCCAGCAGAACTAGTGAAGCTCCTCACAATGTACGCTGACGATAGCTTGATCCAGTCGCACTTCGACTCTGCGGCCGGCCTCATGACAGCACTAGGGTACTGCGAAATGCTTCTGGATCAGCTGGTAGAGCTTGGGTTCAAGGTCAATCCGTCCAAGTCAGCAATTCTGCTACAGCTGCAAGGGGGCTCAGCCTCGACCATTAGGAAGAAACTCTTTCGCCAGGTCGAGGGAGAGAAGTATGTTGAACTCCCCTCGGGCAGGCTGATATCGCTGCGCTATCAGGTTCCATACTTGGGGGTCATTCTTTCTTATCACGACTATGAAATGAAGACTCTCAAACATCGGCTGTCATCCAGTAAGCTTGCAATGTCAGAAGTAGCCCATGCAGTTCGGAACCACCGAGTCTTATCAGACAGACGTCGTCTGTCGATTTGGACAATAACTGCGTGGGCCTCTGCTCTGTATGCACTTCACGTGGTGGGGATGACACAGCAGGGATTGCAAAAGCTCCATTCACACATGATGTACCAACTGAGATTCGTCCTGCGGAGTTACTCCCAGGAAACGAAGGAATCAAACCAGGAGTTACTCCGGAGATTACGGATTCCTCACGTGAAGGAGCAGCTGCAAAAGAGAATGACCCAGTTTATAAAGAGACAGCAACACTCCGATCCCCAGCTTCTCCCACACTATAAGTTGCGTGCTGAGGCAGTTAGCCAGGCATTGGAAGGCCTCTCTACGGACTTTTCCTCGCACCATGTGGAGGATAGGCTTCTGACCTGCGGTGAATGTGGAGCATGTCTCTCTGGCACCGGAGCACTCCGTCGCCACCTGCAGAAGGCTCACCCAGACTCTCAGCAGTGCCTGAAAGGACCCAAATTTGATCCTATTTTGCATTCAATGCCAGGGTCAGCAACTTGCATCGCCTGTCGAGCAACATTCCGAACAGTGTTTTATCTGCGCAAACATGTCGAAGCATCTACCTGCCCTAGGGTAGAGCTTTTGCTTAGACAGCAGGAAGAGCTACCCTTAGAAGCACAGAACCGGATCTCACTCGTAGAAAGTCTACAGTCTGATGCCCAGGACAATCCAGAAGGCGCCGCTCGAAATCCGGCGTTCCATGATTACCTGATGGAACACTGCGCACTCTGTGGTCAGGTCCTCGTAGGCCAGAAAGGAGCCAAACAGCATTTAAACAAGCAGCATCCTGAGGTGATGGCCAAGCTGGAGAAAACTCTCCAACCAAGACTCAATCAATTCAAGGTCTTCTTCCACAAAGGAGATAGCTGTCGATACTGCAAACTTCGTGTGGATGCCCCGGGTAGACATGCTCAGCAGTGCGTTCCATTACTGCAGGTGCACGTACTGCAGGAGGTAGCGCGCCAGCAGCTCAACAAGCAGCCCCGCGAATATACTCGAGCAAAGTCCACGGCATCGGCGAAGACAGTCACACAGAAGCCTTCATATGCAACGCCAGGAATTCCTCACCCCGTGTTTAGACTGGAAGGCTTTCTCCTGCTAGCCAATACTCGCAACCACTGCTATGCCAACTCAGGTCTGCAGTGTCTCCACTGGCTATCAGATCCTTCAGAGGCGACTTTTCAAGAGGCATCCCGGATCAGTCAGCTTGCGAGAATAACCCCAGAACACAGAGTCTTCTCGGAGCTCACCATGGGCTGGCTCTTCGACGGAGGCCAGCACGACTCTGCTGAGTTCCTGCAGCAAGTGTTTCGGAATCTCTCTGCGTCAAGATTTGGACAGTGGGAAACAAGAGCCTCAGTACCGGAAGGCGTGATAGTGGACGAAGAAGGGGGCTCTCCCATCCATCTTGCCACGGCGATCAAGACCAACTTACAGGACATGCTAGTGGCATGGTCGTCTCAGGAGCGCTCATGTGCTCTCATAGAAGCTGCACAGCAGGTGTGCTTAGCCTTGCCGAGATTCGCAGGTGAAGCTAAGGATCACACTCGCATCACAATCCCACAGCAAGTCCAGATCCCTGTCTTCCTGGACCACACATCCCGAGTTTCGTTCTGTACCTACACAGTAGAGGCAGTGATCATTCACCTAGGAATGGAGTCCACTAGTGGCCATTACCGTGCAGCTGTACGTACAGCAGATGCCTGGTATGTTGGTGATGACTCCCACCCCCCTAGTCCCTGTACCCTCGAAGATCCCCTGCTTCAAGAAAATAGCTACGTCATCTTCCTAGCTCGCAGCGCCGTCTCTCACGAGCCCCAGGACGTAGCTAATCTCCCGAGTAATGTCTCTGCAAGAGCTCTTCCAGCGAGCCTTGCGGAGATGCTCCCTTAGGAGGAGACTCTCCCCAACAATCGGAGGAGTTTCTCCCCTTGCCATGTGTGTACAGCTGGTGGAGTTTCTCCCCAGGGGTTTTTAAACAGTAGGAGAACATCAGGTGGAGCTTCTCCCCTCGGGTGGAGTCACTCCCCCTCCTCGTCCTTCCAAAAAGAGAAGCACTGGGCAAAGCGACGGTGGAGATACTCCCCCTGCAGCAAAGGCCAAGAGTGGAGATCCTCCCTCAGGGGACCCCTCTCCACAACAGGCCACCGATGCCGCATAAGACTCTGAAGACACATTCGTGCCAGAGTCTGCAGCTCGAGTCACTGAAGACACGTCCGATTCCGACTTCATTGCTTGCAGCCTTGAGGGGCGGAGCGTGTGCGAGTGCTGTGTTAAGGCACGGCTCGTCATGAAGTGACCGCGCAAGTAGCAAGCAGAGCAGCAGGTCGATCCCTCGCAAAGCGTGGACGTTAAGTTTCACCTCAGACAGAATCCTCCCGCTGCGTGTGAATGAAATGCTGATCGTTATTGTCGCATTCGGATGCGTGTGAACACTATCGTGATAACAATCAGAACTATGACGAGAAACCCGCTACTCGTATGGAAACATTTGAAAGATCACCTAAATCGAGTGTTTCTGTCGCACACACGTGCGCGGGATTTGGGTCCACGGACTAGCTGACTAGCTTTCCTGCCAAGGCTTCAACACAGACTAGTACCAAACATTCCGCTCTGCAAGGTTCGACACAATATTTGCCTCTCACCGGTCGATGGATTGTCTTGCATGATTAGATTTTGATGCATTCTGGCCTGCAGGGCTGTGCGTACGAGCACGATGCTACCAGCGGCACAGACTTCCGCGAGGTGTCTCTCATTTTCTCTGCCCGCAGCATGACAGCAGATGAGAGCATTTTTGTAGAGGACCTGACGTTTAACCCTCACCCGCACTCCGGAGTCCTACATGATCTCAGGCAGTGGCCTCAAGCCCTCCACATCCTACCAACTGGTTCTCGATTTCGTGGCCTTCGCAGCAAGTTCGGCCTCTGCAGCGAAACCTCCGGAGGGACTCCTGCAGCTGTGGCTTCGCCGTGAGTATTCCTCTGAGATGTCGTCTGTTTGGGATGATTTCGCACACTGGATCCAGCACAAAGCCATAGACTGCATGGAAAGGAAGACCGGTGTTGTGTTGCACGCATCGTATAAAAGTATACAATGAACACACCGCAAAGTTGTACTTGCAACGGTGCTCCCGCATGCACTGGACGGTCACACTGTTTCACCGAAGCCCTTAAAGTTTTGTCGGTGTATTCCCCACTCCAAAATTGTAGTCGAGCAGGTTGCGGCAAAGAGCCCGGCAAGAGTGCAGGGACTTTTGCGGTGCATCATCTTAGATCAGAAGCGGAGATTCACAATTTTGGGTTGCACTTTCGGTGTCGGGGTGATGGAACGGTTTACAGATGCCGGCAACATCCGTACTCATTTTTACTAGTAGCAAAGCGATTGATCTCAGATGCTTCCTGGGGGATGCCAGATGCCAGCCTGTCGAACGGACAGGTGGGCTATGGATGACCTCACTGCGAAGCCGTTTGGCTGCTTGGCAGCGAGGGCAGGTTAGCAATCGACTTGTAGAGCTCGTGGCTGTGGCCCTACGGAATGAATTCTACGTTCCGTGAGCACCAGTTGGTACAAGGTCGAGTCGACAGCCACGGCACCAGGCTACAAGAGTTTGCAGCCACACCAGTATGTTTCCAGGGGTTCTGCGCTCAGGTGTAACACGACAACAAGGCCCCAGCAGCACGAAACCGCAAAATAACTGTCCACAACATGGCACAAAACCGCTGCATCTGCCCGGATTTGCCCATTCCCACTCGTTCGCTTCCTCGGAGGAGTCATCGAGTACGCGCCCGCTTGGCTCGAGGAGGAAATTCTTACAGGCAGAGCCCTAGAATTTTGGTCGTTAGCATTCGTCGATGCAGCTTGTGGTGGGCGATAGTTCATCTTCCTGAAGATGGGATGTCAAAAAGCATTAAAAGGCTCTGTAATTCCATGAGCTTTCATGCGGGTGCACGAAGCATTCAGGTGCCACTGGCTCGGCACCCCGCTTCCACGTGGCAGGGGGTGCCGAGATCGTTGAGGAAGGAGGCAGCGATGTGCTCCCCAGCTGCGGAACGTGTTTTCGGTGTGCTTCATGTGAGGCAAGCTGTCTGCCACGAAGCACCAAGGATTGACCTCGCTGCACAAGGTAACACTGCCAGCATCGGTTTCAGGCTGGCCGTGATGAGATGAAGCTGAGTTCTAATCGTGCACAGATCCTCAGTGTGCACGCCAGGCTTCGTGCAGAAGCCGGTGCCAACATCGTGACTGGCGGACGACTGCACATTTTTTTCTGGCCTCTGCACCTTGGGCTGATGACGTCTAATCTCCAGTGCATTCTCGGGCTTCGGCGATCAACATGATGCCGCGGCATGCAATCTTATCCGCGCATGTCCGCGTTGAAACCGGACGGAGCCCTGCCCGGTCATTGTCAGGATTGGAAACGATGCCTCAGTATTGCTTTTCTCAGACGTTCCACCGCTCCGCCGGGCCTTACCTCAACCAATTCCGGATGGCTCGGCTAGGGGGTCGTCGGCGGTCCTCACCGCCGCCGCCACCACCACCACCGCAAAGATCAGCGTCAGCGGCAGCGGCAGCATCAGCATCAGCATCAGCATCAGCGTCATCGTCATCGTCATCGTCATCGTCATCGTCATCGTCATCATCACCTTCACCATCACCATCACCATCACCACACCATCACCATCACCATCACCATCACCATCACCATCACAGCCGCCACCACAGCCACCACAGCCACCATCATCACCATCACCATCACCATCATCATGACAGACATTGTCATCGTTGTCGCCATCACCATCACCACCATCGCCATCACCGCCTTCGCCATTTTCACCGCCGCCATCATCACCATCGTCATCTTTACAGGTTCAACAACAACATCGCCGTCATCGTCATCATCTTCACCAGCACCATCATCATCATCATCATGATCATATCATCATTTGCTAAAGCACCATCATCGTTGTCTTCGTCATCATCATGGCATCGAGCCCTGCTGCTGCTGCTGCTGCTGCTGCTGCTGCTGCTGCTGCTGCTGCTGCTAATTATGATGGTGATGATGATGCGGGTGGTGATTATGATGCCGCCGATGCTGCCGGGGCGGTGGACAACGGCAGAAAGACGACCGATACCTCATGAAACCTTCGCAAGGCACACCTTGCAACTGCAAGGTGCGTAGCCATTTGCAGTCCCGTGTGACTGCAGCTCAGGACACAGTGGCACCTGAACGAAGCCTGCGCTGCTGAGTGCCGCGGCTGATAATGCCAGACAGGTTTGTCAGGAAGTTCACGCAAACTGAACAAGAGGCACGGAGCCGAGAGTTTCCGAGAATACCATTCCTTAAGGAATCTCAGTGAGCTGCAGGATAGCGTTGTAACAGCCCGTGTACGCACGAAGTGCCGAAGGCACCGTTCGTCTTCAGGTGCCTGCCATTCCTCGGGACGGCATGTGCTGCCCCGGCCTGTGCAACACAGGCTCCGAAGCCGAAGTAGGATGTTGGGACGTTAGACCAAGGTTGAGCGTGCGGCCTTCCCAAAATTTACTGCAGCTGGCACGTCTTCTGCACTTGAATGTGGTTTCCGTTATCTTGTGGGTATCTTGAATCTTGGCCATCACCAATTGAATGATGATCGATCCTGTCACCGTCAATTCTCCTGATTGAAACTGTCCTTTTCATCAGGCAAGATCATCAAGAATCAGAACCATGACCATTATCGTCGGGAAAAGGACGAAGTGGCACCAACCCGCAAGCCGCAAGCCAAAGATCAGCACGGATGCACTTTGGAGCCCCAACAAATGTGGACACGGTGCACTTCTGAATAGAGTTCGACACACCATGCAGCGGAGGTGTTGCAGGGTTGAGTGTTAGAAGAGGGTGTGTGAAGTGGTTTCATGGGCATTGAGTCGAGAAGTATGATAAAGCTTAACATGATACCTGTACGTTTTATTGAGATCCTGATGACTCCGCTCACAAGCTGGGGTGTTCAGCATCTGCCACCCGGTCCAGGTGTTGGCCACGCGGCGTTGCTCCTTGAGACTGGCCGCCCGGTCGCACCCGTTCGGTTGCTTCCCTTGGCCTCTATGTCTATGCCCCCAGGCCTTCTTCCGAAGCTCCGAAATTTAAATGTTTCCATATCGAGAGAGTGAGGTGTTTGGAGACATGGAACCCATCACCGAGACCGTCCAGCACACCGTTCGGCTGCTCCTTGGTGAACATACCTGTGTGTGCATCTATCTGCCTCAGATGGTGCGAGACAGATGGAGAGGGAGGGAGGGAGGGAGAGAGAGAGAGAGAAAGACAAAGGTCAATGGGTCGTGTTGAAAGAAAGCTGAGACCGATCCTCGTAAGAACTGCAAGTGAAAAGTAGTTGCAGGTACCCAGGGGGATCATACAACATTAACAAAATGACTTCAGCTGAAACATGATCTACCTGGGGGAAAACAACTACAAGAACACTCTCCCTCTCCTCCAAAGTCCCCACAAAATATGGGGGCGCCCTAGTGGCCGAGGGTCTCAACAGCCCCTCATGCCCGGCGGAAGAAGAGGAAGAGAAAGGAGTAGCCAGCGCTTGGGAACAACCGCAAAGTGCAGCACACGACAACCGGGGCGAGAGCAGGGAAACCTAAAAACTTTCTATTTGGCATTTGTCATGTTCTAATAAAAATAAAGGGCAAGTGGAATGTGCGCCTTAATTTTAATTGAACAAAAAGCACAATAAGATTTCCTCAGATTTTTAGTTATAGAAGTTTATTCCTATAAGTTAGTTTTTTCATTCTCTTCTTTTTGCTTCTTTGCCCTCTTCATTCGCTCTTCGTTCTTCGCTCAAAATCATGCTTCCTTTCAGTCATTCTATTTTGAGTGCAGCATGAAGGGAATGACACAAAGAGGGGAAAAGAAGGGAAGAGAATGAACTAATTTCTAGTACTACGATATGACCTAATTTATAACTAATTGTAATCATAATGTAAAATTAGGGCATTCTTTGTTCTTTTGTTGTGGCTCTTTTGGACGCTTGTTTTAATTTAACAAGAAAATCATGCTTCCATTCCACTCCATTAAATTTTATTTCATATAATATTAGAGGTGTGGTGTGTTGTGTTCTTTTAATTGAAACAGAAGGACAAGGAACCGCGTGCCGTGTTTAAATTAAAAAGAACACACCACAAAGCTCACTTCGTTCACTTGTTATATGAAGAGAAGACAAAAGAACCAAATTAAAATAGAAAACATGCGCCAGCTTATTTTGCAGTTTTAATTTAGCTCTTCTGGAATGCAACAGATTATTACCTAGGAAGGCAGGCAGAACGGCAGAAAGGGATGCTGGGTCCCAGGGTGGAACTTCAAGGAAGGGCGACAAAGGAGAGACGTACTGCGAGACAGCCATGATTTGCAGCAGTGCTCGGCAATTTCTCAGATGCCCTTAGGGTGTCCTTGGTGCCGCCTCCCGGCGGCTTTTTTGCGGCAGCCGCGGGAGCTGAGCTCCGTTCCTCCAGTGGCATGGAGCCGAGCTACCGCACCACCACAGGCGGGGCAGAGTGGAAGCTTCCTTGAAAATTGCTGGAAACACTTCTACAGTTCCTCCCGCTGGAAGGTGCACTGCTCTTCGCACCACCTTCAGCAGCCGGTTCGGTCGCTCCCTTGCACTGCGAAAGCTCCCGCAAGACTTCGGAGCATCTCCGGCCAGGGCTTCAGGGCTGCACAGTGCCTGTCATTGAGGTCATGGCCGGCCTGGGCGAGGACCATCCCTTCCGCGGCGATCGCCAAAACAACATCTTCCTGAGGCTTCGGGATCCTCCGGCGCTTTCCTGATCTTTGGAGGGTTTGGGGCCGTTGAGGGCTTTTGGGGCGTGTCGGGCTCTGACGTCAGGTAGCCGCCTAGTGCTAGCCACAGCAAACAGCATCGACAGCAGAAAGAGACCAGCGACGCGACAATGAGAAGGCTCGTCTTCGGCGCCTCAGTCTTCGGTGGCGCCTCTGCTGCGGCCCCAGGTGGGGCCGGTGCTGCTGCGGCCTCCCCGGGCTTCGAGGTGGACCTGTTACTGTCAGGGATCGTTTTGGCACCGCTTCTATGATACTCGTTTAGCAGTTGGGTCGCAGTTAGATGCGTGGGCCGGATGCAAAGATAGAAAGAAGCCGGTGTCTCGGTCGTTGGTGTGCCAGGTGCAGCTGCCTCCGGGCTATGCTTGCACCCAGGCTGCAAGGCCGTGGCATGTCTGCCAGTCTCTGAATGGCTGGAGGTCAGTTGGCCGAGCTTCGCACCACCCTCAGAAGTAGGCATTGTCCGTTTTTGGCCGTGAACTTCCTTCTCATCCTTGTTAACCTCGCCTTCATGTGCGGCGCAGCCGATCCTCGTCCAAGCCGCCAGTCAGTCGCCATTCGGCTCATAGCTTTCAAGTAGCACCCCACAGATCTCTGTAGGAAAACCGTAGGACCATACCGTCGGACACCCTAGGAAAGCGGATGTTGCGCGTCTACTGGGCTTCGGGCAAACTCGCCCTGGCTCTCGAGCCCGAGGAGTTCGCACGCGTCGCAGCAGGGCCTTCCCCAGTTCGGGGCCTCAAAGAGCATCTGCAAAGTCAGTGCAAGAGGCCGGCCAGGGCTTCTCCAAGCAGCTCCTCCTCTAATGCTCTTGAAAACAGTCGAGCAGTCTGTCCGCACCCGTTGTAGCTGTAGTTCGTAGCAAGATAAGTAAGTCCCAGCAGGTCTAGATTCAGGCAGCGCCTGCTTCGTGATGGTGCTCTCTTGGGCGAGGACGCCACCCTCGAATTGCCACTAGAGCGACTCCTCTGTGCAAGCAATGGTTGTGTTGTTGGTTGTGCTTGTCCGCGCATCTGCCAATCCGCCTAGCCGAGGCTCCAGCTTGTGATTCTCCCATTTAGCCATGCCACGGACCTACAGATCACTGAGCGACTCGACCTTCTGATTCAGCTACGGCACCACTACCTGCTCGCCATCACAACAGCATGCGCTTGCAGGACGATAAACATCTCGTGTTCAGAACAGTCGCCAAAGTGATGTTGGGAAGGCTACTAATGATCAATGATGGTCGTCCTTCTTCGCTGCATGTAACCGGACGAATCATTCCCACGATGCCCTGCAAGTAAATCAGTCACATGGACTTATAACTGCCAGAAAGCTGGCCTCATGGCTGATATGAAATCTCCTTGCACTTTTATGCCTCCACCAAGCATGTCATACCGATAACTACCGGCCGCCCTTACACCGCAAGCGGAGGCTCTTCAAGCTTCAAGACCAAGATTCCCCGGAATTACTTATTCAAAACAGCGACTGAGTACAATAAGGCCCCGCTCAGACCCGAAGCTCCGCCAGGCTACGACGCGCCGTCGAACGCGATCAACTTCAGGAGGCGGAGGGTACCCTTGTTAATGCCCTAAACTTACTATCAGTTCGGTTGCAAACTGTAATCCTTAACGTCTGATCCCTGTATTGTTGAAACGCCAACGTTGTAAACTCCCGTAGAGCATCGTAAAGCTCCGACCCTAGGTGGAGGCCATCCTACAGCGGCCACAGGACAGGACGAGAGTGCAACAGCCATGAATTGTAGCGATGGTTTCAACGCAGGAGTCGTCTGATTTTCGGGTTTTTACGTTGAGAATACTCCCCAGTCCATATCACGGTCTCATGTTCTGTGAAGCCATCCATAGAACAGCGATTTTAGGAGCATGCTGTGGAAGCTCAAAGGAGAGAAGGAGAAGAATTAGAGGCTTCCGCTAGCAGCTTAATCAGTACGGATCATAAGTACTGCTTCAGACCGAGGACAGCTGCGTGCAGGGTGTAGCTGAGAAATTGGGGTCCGGGTGGGACACCACCCGAGGTGCAGGATGGTGCGATGCTGGGCCACGATACCGATACCCCTCTCTTCGATTGTCAGTAGTGCTTGGAACCTCCAACCATAATAGAGGGTGCCATAATTTTGCAACATGCATGTGGTTGCATGTGCCGGTCTCCTGCTTGAAGCCTCCGGAACAGGATGCAGATCTCTCTGTTGCCCGCGACTGGACCACAGCATTGCACGTGGCAGCAGAGCATGGCTTTGTGGCAGCCGCGAGGCTGTTGCAAGAGGCCCCTCAGCTGACATTCAGTATGCTTGTTTCTCATGACGCGGAACTTGCTTCGGGCGTCGTCCTGTGGGGATTAAGGCTTGCGCAGACGTCGACAGGCCGGACATTGTGGGGTCCACACCCCTGCTCGTGGCGGCCAAAAACGGCCACCTGAGCATGGCACGCTGGCTGCTGGAAGCACGGGCAGACCTGAATCTTGGCCAGTGCTTGGAACTTCTTGCGCGCATCTGCTGATCTGCTGTTCATATATGGTCAGGCGTCTGGCGTTCCCAGCCCCCCCCCAATGGTATGGTCTGATAGGGGTGGGGGGGGGGCCTGGCGTGTGCGGAAAGGGGTTGGGGGCCGTTGGAGCTGCCACTGGATGGTGAGGTGGTGCTGGCGGCCAGGGCTCACGCGCAAGCCCTTCGCAAGCAAGCCGTAAACCCTGTAACGCAGCGCGTGCCCCTGTTTTGAGCAACCTTAACTTGTACTTAAAATGCTACACCCAACCCTAAACCCCACCTAACTGCAGGCTCTAAGGCTCTAAGCCTAAAGCAGAGCATACACCGCAAATCCTCCCTAAGCCCTTGTCGACTCGAAGCCTTATACCTTGTAACCGTAAACCCAAAACTCAAAAGCTTGAGCTAAACCCTAAACCCCAAAACCCCACAACCACCCCACAGCGAAAAGAGGAACCCCACACGACACGCCACAGGGGAGGGGCGTGCCCCACCCTATATCCGGACCATTGACCTTTGGGGGGGGAGGGGGGAGGGGGGAGGGGGGGGGGGCTGCGGAGCGCGTGACCATATATGGCATGCTCCCGTCTTCCGTGCCCGACGTAAAGCACACGTATACAGCAGTCAGGACTGTGTAGATGGCGCTGCTTTTCCTGAGGAATGCCAAGTGCTTTGCTGGAGGGAACGGGGCGAACGGCGGCCCCGGCCGCTCCTTTGGGCCCACGCCGCTCTTTATGGCGGCCTTGACTGGGCGCCTTGAGGTCGCTCGGCTTTTGTTGGATGCCCGGGCGGACAAAGAGAAGTCCGAGGCCCACTCCACCCCGCTCTTCGTGGCATCACAGCAGGGACACAGAGAGCTCGTACAGCTTTTGCTCGAAGCCAATGCCAACAAAGACAGCACCAACGAGGAAGGCGCGACCCCTCTGCTGAAGGCTGCGGAGCGTGGGCACGCGGACGTGGCCAGGCTCCTCCTCGAGGCTGGTGCGAGCAAGGACCCAAGTCTATTAAATAGATGAGGGTTGTGCGTTTTTGTGAGCGATCTCGGCACTCGCGCTGTTCTTGCGAAGGACAAGGCCGACTGTTCCGGGTCAACTCCTTTGTTCGTGTCCTGCGTGGCCGACCGATTGGAGGTGGTGCGACTTCTGCTGGCATTCGGAGTTGACAAGGATGCTGAGAACAAGTACGGGGACACGCCATTTTCTATTGCATGCCGCTGCGGCCACATGAGTATCGCAGACCTGTTGAGGGAGAGCGGAGCCGGCGGAGCCCGTCAAAGTAACCAGAGCGCTAGCAAATGATGCTTTTTGTCGGAATCCTAGGCCTAAGGCCTGGTTCCTGGTACTCAGCGCTTCGAAAGGAAGTCGCACACAGCAGCTTTACTAGGAAACATCCCGCAACAACTGGTGACGACGGCGTGAAAACCGAGACGAATTCCATCTTCACGCCCTGAGGCAGTGCACGTGCAGCAGTGTAGTCTTACCTAGCCGTCCCAGAAGCTCTACACCAACTGGGGTCAAGCACTCCACTGCCAGCCGCTACCAGTAGCACCTGGACCCCTGGGAGCGGTCCATCTCCGCAGTCGTGAACTGAGGTATCGATGCAGGTTCTGCGGCGCCCGAGGAGAGCTTTGTGATCGAATTCTGGATTCTAGTCAGTGCACCAGACATGCCACAACAAAACAAACCGAATTTTCCAAGTAGACGTAGCTGGATCCCCGACATTGCTATGTGTGACTGTCTTTTTTCGGGGACCCCCCCCCAACCATTCGGGGTGGGGTTGAATATCTCTTGCTCGTTACCCCCCTGACCCCCCTCACACCTTGACTTGGGTTGGGTCTGGGTGGGTTTGATTAACTTAGAAGGGTTTTAGGGGATCCCATGGGTTTGGGGGTGGCTTGGGGTCTGCGATCCTCCGCAGATGCCCGGGTTGCGGGAGTGGGGGCTGGGAGATAAGCTCTTTAGCAGGATGTGCAGTTGGTGTGTAGTGGTACAGTAGCACCAGCAGCAGCAGCGGTAGTAGTAGTAGTAGTAGTAGTAGTAGTAGTAGTAGTAGTAGTAGTAGTAGTAGTAGTAGTAGCAGTAGTAGTAGTAGTAGTAGTAGTAGTAGTAGTAGTAGTAGTAGTAGTAGTAGTAGTGGTAGTAGTAGTAGTTATAAAGTTATCGTACAGTAGTAGTACAGTAGTAGTACAGTACTAGTGTTCTAGCAGTGCAGCACGAGTAGAGTAGTTTAGTCCCGTAAGGGGGTTTGGAGGAACCTGGAGCTGGAAAGGGGGTTTAGGGGCCCCCAAATTGTGGGGGCTAGTGTAGGATGGAGGAAAACATCTTCAACATGGATGTTTTCTAGCCTCGGCAGTTATCTTGGAGTGATTGGGATTTGGTTTCAAGGTTTTGCCAAAACCTCTAAACCAAGCCCCGATCACTCCAAGATGGCTATCAAGACTAAAAACCATCCATTTTATGGACATGTTGCTTCAACCAGCATTCCCTGCCCTCCACAACCGACCAAGTCTGGGGCCTGATAAAGTAGGAATTACGGTACTGCAGTAATGCAGTAGTACAGTAGGAGTACAGTAGCCCAGTAGCAGTACAGTAGTACGGTAGCAGAACAGTAGTACAATAGTAGCAATACAGCAGTACAGTATTACAGTCGTAGTCCAGTAGCAGTCCAGTGCGAGGTAGCTAGAGCTGTTTAGCGGGGTTTGGGGATCCCCAAAAGGTATTTACTCTACAGTCTAGGCCCTCCCTGACCAATCCGCCTCGAAGTTCGTGCTGCAAGCATTTTTGCATGCTGTCTCGACTTGTTGTCTCTCGGTGCTTGCACACGCACTGTTGGCTGTGCTTCGAACCCTAGCACCCCCACGCATCCGCAGATGTGTCGTTGATGTTACCCTGCTTTGTCGAGTTCACTCTTGTTTGCGTGAAAGAGATGTTTGCTCGGAACCACTTGCAATCAGGGGGGTGTTCCCCTCTTTCTCTTGCCACCGGCCTTTGGATTTGGGCCTAGGAGGCAGCACGCACAACAGCGAGGCAGCACGCGTGCCCGAGACAGCACGTTTGCAGATGATCTAGCGACAGCCAGGGCACACAGCCAGCCTTCTCAACCTGTGAAACCATTTGCACTCGGTGCTGGTCTCCATTCCTGCGCTGCGCAGGTGGCTGGCCTGCTGCATGCCACCTCGTCGTCTGAGCGTCGTCTCGGCGTGCGCGCGCTTGCACTGTGCGGAAGCGCGTCTTCCGAGGCAGCACGCAGTCGCCACAATCGAGGCAGCACGCACAAAATCAAGAGTGGCTTCGCGAAAGGATGGTTTAAGGGATTGCGCGGCCTTGCAAGGATAATTGCATTCCACCTCAGTAATTTGCTGTCGGATGTCTGCTAGCACACATCGGGCCCCAATCGGGTCAGGCGACACGCAGACAAATGAAACAGCACGCAATCACCGAGACAGCACGCTCGGGTCCGCAACGGATGTGAGGCAGCACGCAGAACAGGCGGGTATGCCTGAGGCAGCAAAATTTCACCTCAATCTCAACCCGCAGGCCCCGCCTGTCCTTTTAAAATGATCAAGTGCAGAGGAACGGAAATCCAGGCCTCGACTGGTTTTGAAGCTGGTTCGTGGACCCAAGCTCTCAAAGCAACAGCAATGCTTTTACAGGCTGAAAAGATGTAGGCAGAGACAGAGAAACTGCATGGCAAGGAAAGACATGTTCATCACATCTGCAGATGCATGGTTGTGCTAGGGTTCGAAGCACAGCCAACAGTGCGTGTGCAAGCACCGAGAGACAACAAGTCGAGACAGCATGCAAAAATGCTTGCAGCACGAACTTCGAGGCGGATTGGTCAGGGAGGGCCTAGATACAGGGGTAAAGGTTGGGGGGCTAGGGTTTAGGATTCCTTTAAGGGTACTCTAAAGAGTGTCGGGGTTGCGGGTTTAGGTTCCTGATCGTCTACAGCACTCAACTAAAATTAACAATTAGCAGAAGGGATCAAAGCAAACCACACAATCCGCCCGGCCAAAGAAACGCATGTTGATGCCGCCCAAACATGTACACCGCCAGGAATAAGCCCGAACAAAAACGCATTATAGACGCGCATGACACAAAAGCCAGTCACACTTTAGCGATGATACCGCTCGTCTGAGTCTGCGAGTGATAACCATACCGACCATACCAGTTATTAGCATCCAGATCAACAAGCAGGCTTCTGACCGTACATGTAGATCGCAGGAGCTTGATTCTTACATGACTTCTCGGGCGATGCCAGAAGCTCCGCAGGCTCAGATGTTGTGGTGTGCGTGCAAGCACATGCAGAGTCTTTGTACATATATGTGTATACACAAGTCTTGTATATTGTTATGGCTCAGAACGGTGAAACTTTATCGACGGGCCACCGCTCTTGTCAGGGCTCTCTTCTCGAGGCTGTCCCGCGCTGGGTGTCGGGTCTGCTTCTGGGTTCCATTTTGACCGCGTGGTTGTCCAGGGCTTCCCTTCTTAAGATCCGAAGCCGGATGCCCTGCCCTTTTTTTCTCCTGTCGAAAGGCTTGACGGGTCAGCCTTCCCGGCCTTCGCCTTCGTGCCTACACTGTACTTCCATGACTGGCTAGTGGTGCCGGGTTGCCTCGTTCCTGCACTGCGACCGGAGAGCTGGTTCCACGCGTCGAGAGCGTCTGCTTCTCGGCCGTGGGCCCTGGAAGGTCAATAGCCACGCAATGGAAATCTGCGTTCAGGAGACCTCGTCCCTGCAGTTCTCGCACAGGTTGTTTCGGCCGTCCCTGCTTCTGGTCGGTTGCCTCCTGGACGGTTTCGCTGATTTTTTGCTTGTGCTGTTTACTCGTTTTTGCGTTAGTCAGCTTGGCCGTGAAATTGTGGATGGGAACTGTGGCGGGAAAACCCTTGGCTAGCTTGCAGAGTGAGACACTCGCTGACGCAAGTGCAAAGAGCGTGTGGCATCTTGGTGTTGAGCACTTGTATAGCAACCAGTATAGGGTAGCTCATGTGTACAAACAGATTCGCAGAGACGGCCCGGACTTAGTAACCACACAGATGATGACTGCAGGCACATATCGGCCGCAGGGCAACTAAGCACGCCGATAGATGTAGACTACCAAAGATAAAGCACATACAAATGGAACAAACATAGAATATCTGCGTAACAGGGGTGCGCACCTAAAGATCGTTATCTCCCTGCAGCTCTGCATACATGTATACACTCACATGTGTGCGCGTGTATGTGGGTGTATGTATGAGTTTTGTATGTATGTACGTTTACATGTACTTTGGTGTACATACAAAAATTCACATGTGTATGTACATATGTACGAAGGTGTCAGAGACGCCCACAACAGCAAATGTGTGTGTGTGTGCGTGTGTGTTTGTGCGTGCGCAGATGAATTGAGTATGTATGCATGCAGGCATGCATACATATATGGGTATGTGCATGAAGGCATGCATGGACGGACGGATGAACGGCGGGATGGAGGGATGGATGAATGGATGTACATACTGACGTTGGTATGTATCTTTGTGACTAGCTGGTGAGCTAGCTCGCTAGGTAGGCAGGCAGGCAGGCAGGCATCTGTGCATAGATGCATCATGCATGGATGCATGTGGATGCACGGATGGATGGATGGATGCATGTATGCACCCAGTCAGGTCAACTACAGATCCAAGCATACCGACCATATGCCCACATGCATCCGATGGATTTCTTGATGCTCTATCGGTTTGCACACGACAAAAAGAGAGAGAGAGAGAGAGAGAGAATCTAACCGAAATCTGCAGTTATCGCTACGACAGTACGGGGGAAATGATCAACCGGGGAAAACAGCAAACAACATTCTCACACTCCTCCAAAGTCCACACAAAATATGGGGGGGCCCTAGTGGCCGAGGAGTCTAACCAACCCCTCATGCCCGGCGGAAGAAAAGAGAGAGAGAGAGAGAGACAGAGAGAGAGAGAGAGAGAGAGAGAGAGAGAGAGAGGGAGGGAGGGAGGGAGGGAGGGAGGGAGGGAGGGAGAGCGCCTGGCGCGCGGGGGCGGAGGTCCTCCACCTCTTACCCTTGCGAAGAAAGGCGGGGCCCGACAATGAAACAGGGAGAATTCCTTCCTGCTGGGTCATCGCGGCACAGCCTCTTGAGTTCCGCCAAAAAAGCAACAAAGCAGGGTTGGTCTAGGGTCCATCATCGCTTGCAGGGACCCGCCTTGTTGCATTGTGCAGTGGGAAGGGCAGACCAGCCGAATGCTCTCCGGATCAGCAGCATGTGTAACCACCCCTAACAAAGAGGTGCGCTCTTGCATGCGAGGAAGCTCCTCCTAGACCTGCAGAAAGGAAGAGAGGGGGAGGGGGAGAGAGAGAGAGAGAGACAAAGTAAGTGACAGAGGGAGACAGCAAGAAGAATCAAGAAAACTAACTAAGACTGGATTCTGCTGCCAACGTGCAGGGTCGGGGCGACATTGGCCTTGATCCGCAGATCGATGGCGACTGGGCAACTTTGAAGTGTGAGTCAAAACAGGGGCCCAAACATGCGTGACAGAAGCAGGATGCGGACATTAGATCCCTCTTTTGGTATTGCTCCTTGACTCCTTGCCATCGCCGGTGTCTTGTTCTTGTTGCTCTGCTTTGTGCCATACCGCACACCCTCCAAAAAACAAGGACCTTCTAGCCGTTTAGGTCCGAAAACCGAGCAGACTAGCACAATTTGCAGCCCTCCGATAGACCCGAAACCGTTTGTCTCTTCAGAAGCGCCGTCGGCTTCGAGGCTATTGGCTTTACAGCGGACGTTTCTGCATGTACGTGCTTCGCTCGTACGGTGTGGTGTACGCCGGCAGTGCCATTGTCCTGCCTTTTTGCAGCAAGTAAGTTGCAGCGTTCAGATCTCAGAATTTCGTAGCTTGAGAGGAAAAGAATTGCCGTTCATTTGGGCCTTTATTCGGGGGACTTCAGTGTCCAAAATCTGCAGCTGCAATTCCCTCGCAGAGTGGTCAACATGAGTCCCGCCAAGTGTTTGCGACATGTCGTCCATTTCGGAGTGAGTTCTTTTCAGGGAAAGGTTGGGAAGCGTGCGGGAGAAACGGTGCAACTCCAGGAAGGTGGTGGTCAACAATCCCATCTTCGCACTGCCCCGACGTGACCCACAGAACGTTTGGACCCTGAGGCGCATGCGAAGCTGTGATATCATACGTTTTGAGATCCCCAGACTTTCAAGTTAGCACTTTATATCTTTGCTCGACCAGATGCTTTTGGGTACTCTCGCAGTTTTGCGGCTACAGTTCCTCATGTCTAAATTCTAATTCGATGTTAAAACTTCAGACTTCTGCAGGCTGCGGGGCAGCACAGCCCCCCTGGCCGCAGCTACGACCGCTCCTCGCTCGCTCTTGGCAGTCGCGGATCGCAGCGGATCCTCACTGCTTTGGAGTTTGACTGCGCTGCTTTTTGGGGTTTTAGGAGTTGCTCGTTGAAACGCGATTTCAGGGTTGGCGTTCTTCTCGATTAGGGACAAATGGAGGTTGAGTGAATCTTGTGGGGTGGGGCTTCAAGACCAATGTTGTGGCTGGGTTCCAGAAGGTTCCAGCCAAGATGCCCCGCTTTTAAGCTGTGGAGTAAGTAGCAACGTTGAATGCAGCGAGGTATTAAAGTCTACACCAACTCTAAGGCCAAAGTCTAAAGCTGAACCCTAAAGCCGAAATCGCAAACTGGGTGGGAAAGCTTGGGCGGACTCCATTCGCAGCTTGCATTCGCAGTGTGACAGCTACTATTGCAGAAGTGGAGAGAAGGAGAGAAAAACGGTTCTTGCAGTCATTGCTTTAAAATGCGTTATGGCGGATTTGCAAAGCTCAACCAGAGGGGAGCACAATCAAAGCCCAGAAAGCTTTTTTGGCAGCAGGATGATTCTGTTCAATATTAACACTGCGACACTGCCTGCTGAAAGTCAGCAGGCTCTGCCTCGGACTGGAGCACTTGCCGCTCTGGCGGATGTCTCGGAAAGGCGGCTGTCTTTATGTGGAGTGGGACCTAGGCGGCTTGAGCCTTGCAGATTTCTGTAAAGGCCAGAGTGATTTAGAATTTAGGCTTTGAGGCTTTTATGGATCAGATTGAGCACTGTTCCCCGACATTTTCGAGACTCGGGGATGTGACAGGTAAGCAGTGCCATCAGTAGATGCCCCAACAAGTATTGCGAGCGGAGGGGCCCGAGCAATATTCAGAACATGTGAAGACTTCGTCAGCCGCAGCGGTGCACTTGTCATAGCAGCGTTGGGTCCGGCGCAGACGCACGAGTATACCGACACTGGCAATCTGGTAAGCAAAACTCTACCGCGATGCAGCCAGAATCGCCTTGAATGTGGAATCCGGAGCAGAGCAGGGCTGAAATCTCCGAAAGCCCTAGTCACGTTAAGTACGGAGCTTCGAACCTCCGAATCCCGGTAGCTTGAAACCTCCTGCAGCAGCCTCCCCGGCGATGTATTCCGCGAGAGGCTCGCGAATCCTCTGCCCCCGAATAAATCCCCGGACCATGAACCTGTTTGAGCCATCGCCAGGCTCAGGAAAAATGTTCCGGTCCTGGGGGTGCTCAGAGGTCGGGGCACAAAATCTCGTGGCCATAGAGCTCTGAACATCTGGCTGCTGGGTCCCACGGGAATATTGGAATTGCATGTGTCGCAGTGTCTCAACAGATCATTTACATACAGCGATACATACATAAATTGCAGACAGCGTCGCAATGCAGGCCCGATGTTTATAGCCTTCTTTGTACTTCAACAACGCGGGCTTGTATTCCGACATACCCTGTAAACAGATGCATAGTAACGGAAATAAGTCAATAAAGTTAAAAAAGGCATGTCTGCATGTATGCATGTGGGCATCTCTGTCCGTCCGTCTGTCCCAGTCCGTCTGTCCGTCCGTCTGTCTGTGTGTCTCTCTGTATGTCTGTCTATCTGCCTGTCTGTCTGCTTGTCTGTGTGTATAAATGCAAGCATGTGTGCATGATTGTGCATGTATGCATGCATACATGGATGCATCGATGCATAGATGCGTGGATGCATGCATACTCTGTACGCGCGTACGTACGTACGTACGGTATGCATGTATGTATGTCTGTATGTAGTAACTGTAGGGGCAGACGAGAACCTGATGCAGATGGATAGATCGATAGATTGGGTGATTAGGTAGGTAGGTACGTAGGTAGGTAAGCAGATAGGTAAGTAGTAGGTACGTAAGTAGGCAGGTACGTAGGTAGTTCTTGAGACATGTGCACCGATAGATCGATAGATAGACCGATATACCGACAGACCGGATGGATCACAGATGGATCGGTAGACTGATAGATAGTTAGATAGATGGCAAGATAGAACCATACACGTAGGTAGATAGACGGATGACAGTTAGACAGACTTAGCGAGGCTGTATGATGAGTACCATGCTGCAGCACTTGCTCAAGACGCACAACTATAGAGTTTAGGTACCTCTTTCTCTTTCTCTCTCTCTCTCTCTCTCTCTCTCTCTCTCTCTCTCTCTCTCTCTCTCTCTCTCTCTCTCTCTCTCTCTCTCTCTCTCTCTCTCCCTCTCTGTCTCGCTACGAATGTACATGAAATATGTGCACATATATATATATATATATGTCTACTTGTACATGTATGTATCATGTATGTGTATATGTAAGAGTTATTTCATTAGTATCAGTGTTGTTTTACTTATTGATTATTACGGCTATCATTATGATTAGTATGTTTATTGTTGTCATGACTTACGACTACAACTACTGCTATGCACTACTACTACTACTACTACCACCACCACCACCACCACCACCACCGCCACCGCCACCGCCACCGCCACCGCTACCGCTACCGCTACCGCTACCGCTACCGCTACCGCTACCACTACCACTACCACTACCACTACCACTACCACTGCCCCTGCCCCTGCCCCTGCCCCTGCCGCTACCGCTACCGCTACCGCTACCGCTACCGCTACCACTACCACTACCACTACCACTACCACTGCCCCTGCCCCTGCCCCTGCCCCTGCCCCTGCCGCTGCCGCTACCACTACCACTACCACTACCACTACCACTACCACTACCACTACCACTACCACTACCACTACCACTACCACTACCACTACCACTACCACTACCACCACCACTGCGACTGCCCCTACCACTACCGCTACCACTACCACTACCACTACCACTACCCACAACCACAACCACCACTACCACTACCACTGCCACTGCCACTACGAGTACCACTACCACTACCACTACCACTACCACTACCACTACCACTACCACTACCACTACCACTACTACTACTACTACTACTACTACTACGACTACTACTACTACTACTACTACTACTACTACTACTACTACTACTACTACTACTAGCACTAGTACTACTACTGCTACTACTACTACTACTACTACTACTACTACTACTACTACTACTACTACTACTACTACTACTACTACTATAAGTACTACTAGTATTACTACTACTGCTCCTACTCCTACAAACTCCTACCTGTGCTACTACTACTGCTACGACTAAGGCGACGACTACTACAATCATCATTGCTATTGTTGTTATCTTTGAGTAGCACTATTATGAATAGTTCATATCACATAGTGTTGGCAACATACATGCACGGTCTACATGGTTTCATAACATATATGCCTGTATATATATATATATATATATATATATTTCTTTCTTCATTTGTTTCCCATACCCTACAAGATAGAACATGGTACATAGCACATTTCTGTTTGAATATTTGTCTGCATGTAGTTCGCTCCGATGCAGGGGCGTGTACTTCCATTCCTGCTCGGCAGTGGCTTGTTTTTTGTGCAATCCTACATGTCTCTATCCCCTGTGGTTCTAGATTCCGGACCGCCAAATCCTCCTATCAAAAGCCCGAAATTGGCGAGCTCATAGAGTCCGAAGATGTGGCCGTGTTTTGATAAACTGGAGCCGCACAGTCTGTGCAGATGCCACGGTCACGCCTCAGTTCTTCGGAGCCGGCATCACCAGGTGACGTGGATGGGTTTTACAGCTGGTAGAGCAGATGCCGTAGTGCCAACCTTACACCCTAAAAAATCCCAGCTGGAATCTTGGTGTAAGTACCATTGAGTAGGGTACTTTCTGATCTGGCGCATGTTGTACCAGCACTGGTGCTGTTGAACGTTAGGTCGCAAAGCTCGGCACAGCGACTTGTGTATCCCAGCCCCTGCGATGGCATCTCCTGCTGCATGTTGATGTTACTGTGCGCCAGGGAAGAATTTTAGTGCTGATATTCTAGAGAACTGAGGCTAGAGAGCAAGTGTCCGCAAGGCAACCGCAATTTCGATAACGATTCCGTGACAAAACGTTGCAGCACTGCGTCCCTTTCTTCTCACACCAGCCTGCAGTCCCTTGTGCCTTTTCTGAGCTTCGGCAAGCTCGGTAATCCAATCCTCGACCACACGAGCGACTCTCTGCGCCAAGACCCACATCAGAAACCTTGACCCCATCTTACCTTCATCCGATCGACAAGACCCAAAACCCAATACACCTACATCCGAAACTCCGAAATCGCCGTTGAGAGAGGAACTGGCTCTCCGTGTTTTTCACGGCCGAGCAGGGCGGGCCTGGCAATGGTGGGGCAGTCGAGCTCCGGGTGCCTGAGGACCGTCGCAGCGGTTAGTGATATTCGCAGTTGAGTCAAGCCAAACGTGGAGGCTCACAGCAGTAGAAGTAGATGCGGTGATGGCGGTCTTAGTTGTCGTAGTTCTCGCAGCAGTCGTAGGAGTCGGAGTAGTGAGTAGTTGTCGTGGTCAGTAGTAGTCGTCTATTTTTCTCATGGTTTTTGTCTGCTCAAGCGGTAGACTGATTCAGAGCCTAGTCTGCAACGAATGATCACGGTTTCTCCAGACACGGATTCTTGCATGTGCCTCTTCTCTGTCAGGGCTTCAGCTTTCCACCCAGCTGCCTCACTCAGCCACTGCCGGCTTTCCACTATGCCACTTGCATCTGTGAGCGCGCGAACCTGCAGAAGCCGCGTAGCAACAGCGAGTCCAGCGGAGACACCTCTCGCTTTTCGTTCCCTTGCGGTTGTTTTGAGTCAGTGCTCGTTCGGTAGGTTCATTTCCGTATCATCACCATCGTCATCATCATCATCACCTTGGGCAAGCATCATCATCTTGATGAGCAGTATCATCTTCCTGGTTTTCAGCATCGATGCGTTTTGTTGTGCAACTCATTGTGGAAGACTCATGCCAAGGCCACGCCTTCTGCGCAGCTCGCTGGGACGGCTGCTCTGCGCTCCACTGCGCCACTGGCTGTGCGGCGTTGCCGGGTCGGAGGTCGGACTTCCACGGAGCGCAGTTCAGAGGGTGCAGCGTGGCAGGACGGTGCCTCTTCAGATCCCGACTCCGGCTTTTGCTTCCTTTGTGTGTTTTTTCCCAGGTGCACGTGGTGTCGCGAAATGTACAATACACACGCGCATCTGTGGGTCGCATTTTCGGTTGTGTTACACCTGACCTGTACGCACACGCACCTCAAGGCTCCGCAAGAAGGGGGAGTGGATGGGGGCAAGTGATACAGTACAGTATGTGCTTGAAGCTATGGTTCTCAGATCACACATTTCCACTTGGACGAACCTGCACGCCACGGAAACTTCACAGGACATGCCTCTCCAAGATTCCAGCACAACTCGTTTAGCAGCCTCTCTTGAAGCCCCAAGCTTTCCTTCGAAAGGTTTGCCCAACATCGCTGAGGCCCGGCCCACAGTGTTGTGACATGCGAACACCAGTGCCGCTCTTCGACATCCAACGCGCCGATGCTGAGGTGACGCTGCCCAGCAGTGCACGGATTGCGCCTGTCCTGAGATCTGGGAAAGCCAAGAAGCGAGTCTTCTCCCTCAACACACCCACTCAGGCAGCTGGCAGCACCTACGGCTTCGAAATCCAAGTCTTCAATGCGGTGCAGAAGCCTGGCTACAAGTGCTTTGCTTCTCGCCTTCGTCCCAATCGTCCCTGCGCCATGCAAGAGCTTCTGAGGTACAGCGTCGGGCAGCAGGATGGATTTAGGCATTCCCGCAGAATCGATCTACGGTGTTTTGGGAGCTCAAGTTTTCGTGCCGGTGCAATCTCTTCTTCTTTGCAGTATGCGCACTTCGATAAACTTGTGAGTTGAGAGGCTGACGACTCGGAGCGCTGCAGGTGACGACATGGATGCCACTTGGTCTTGGAGGGAGGGAGCGTTGATGTGCCAGAAATCCAGCCCAAGAAGACCTGCAGCTCCCGTGTTGTCGGTCTGTGCCGTTAAGCCTTTAAGCCTAGTTTGCTGGACTTCCGGATAACAGAGTTAGCACCGGCGAGGCGACGTATCACACCATCCGGTACGTTGCCAGCGACACCGAAGGTCCTGGCACATCTTTCGGAGCCAGTTGGCTGCACTCTGAAGCCCCAGGCATGCTGCAGGTTCGCAGCGTGTAAGTGAACATCTCAAAGTTCACCGGTTCACATCTCTCCATCTAGCCCTGCTTGTTATGTACACGCTCTCAGATACACCGATGAACGTGCACAGGCAAAGGCGTGCATTTCGGCATGCGTACATCGATGCATCGACAATGGTAGAACAGGGGGCAAGTGCAAGATTTCAATGTGAGCAATGCGCGTTCTGACGATGGCAAATTTCAGCATGTCCTCCTGTGACTGCAAGAGGGCCTGGTCCAGGGATGGAAGTCCGCCCTCAGATCCCCGTGCTTATCTAGAGCTCTGTGTGGCCTCTTCTGATAGTGGAGTTGGTGCTTCCCAAACGAGGTCTATCAAGAGCCGATGCCCGCAGGCCCGGTGCTTGCCAGGCTTCGCTGTCATGTGCTGTGGCACTGTGGGCCGGAACAGGCTCCTTTGTTCTGTCCTTCGACAGCATGCTGCCATACTCGGAGAGTGGCTTAGCCACTCGAGTGGTCGTCTTCCCTTTGAAGGCGCCAAGCCTACGCCAAACGAAGTTCGGAGGACTTAAGGTACGGACCAGGGCACAGCTATTTCTGTGTCTGCGGCCGCAAATCACCGGTTTGCTCGCACGGCTGCCGCAAGTTGGAAAAAAGGTGCTTTTATTGCGGGTGTCGGTGAGGCAAACCAGCGGAATGTCGACTGTAGATGATTGCAACAGCAGGAAACGCAGAAGCGGTCATTTCACCTAAATGCCAAACAGCAACTAGCACCAATATGTTTAGGCACATAAGCATTGTGATTCTAATGACGATCGTCGTCAACAGAAGTCTTGTGAGAGGCTGATCGTGGTCTTCACGTGTGCATACACCTTCGTTCAGCCAAGCAATGGAACTGTCGTTTTGCCCCTTCCAGGTGCCCTTCGACTCTCTGGATCCCGTGACCTGGCGACTGGTGGCCCCGCTGGGCTTCATTTGGGCACCTGGGCAGCGGCAGAACCCGTCAGCCCTACCACGAGTGACTGCGAATTAGCTTAGCTTTGTAGACCCTCTAAGCCCGAAGTTACCGAACCTGAACCCTGAACCCCAAGCCCACGACCTGAAACCCTCAACTCCCTCAAATGCCCGTCAGTTTCGCTTCTCGGGCTTGCAAGATTCACAAAAAAGCAGGAGGGCTTGCCGCAGTCGGAGACATTGTGTGTGTGTGCGCGTGCCTGACACAACGTGTGCTTACGAATCTATGAAGTATGTATGGGATGGCGTATGTCTGCATGTATAGATAGACAGACGGACAGATAGGTCGACAGGCAGACAGGTAGACAGACAGACAGAAAGTGTACCAGTGAGATTCAGGTGCGTAGTCTTGACTGGCATGGCCGGCAATACTAATGTTGTGAGAACCAATTGTGTTGGGGTGCACCGCACCTGGGACATCGCATCTATGCGACGTCCATGCAGGGGACTGGCTCGGCATTTAGGGATGTCCAGATTCGAGTTCATTGCGCAGGCTTGGAAGACCTGGGCGTAGCCTGTTTTCTTACATGGCTCCGGGGAACCGGAACCCTGCGCCCCCATTCATGGTCGCCACTGTCTCATCCGCATCAAAGTAGCGATACCGCTCTAGCATAACATTGTATAGTTCAGCAATGCTCAGCATCAGAAACGCCACAGAGCATGCTGTGTCGATCCCATGGCAAGGACTTCCGGCCGGCAGAGTTCTTGTATCGGCGGCAGGAGTGCAGCGATGCGCAGCAAGCTGATGCCGACAGCACAAACCCGACAGTCCTCCGACAGCCACAAGCCGGCATGGGATGGGACCTACTCTCAAGTTGACCGCCCTGACTATCTTAGAGAGCCGAACCCCCACCTCCAAGCCTGTCAAGCAGCCTTCGAAGTGGAAAACAGGACATACTCGGCGTCACAGCCGATTTGCCACTGGAAACAGCACCCGCCTCTCCATCAACGGAGCCTTTGGCCATCCTGGCGGTGGTCAACAACTTCCAAGGAGCACGCGACAGGTAATCGGATCTTAAAAGATTCCCCTTTGGATCCACACTGCCGAACGGTGCAGCTTGAGGGTTTTCGGTCGTTGAGTCGGAGTTGCCAGACAAAGCCATGGCATAGCAGGAAACTGGGATCGGACGCAGACCTACGGCTTGGTGGCCAGGTGCCTCATGGGAGCTGTGCACCGTAACGTCAGCAGCCAGAAGGTGAGGTTCTAGGTACTATGTGCAGTCAAAGAGGGACAAACCAGTAGCTTTCTTCGAAGATGGCTCGTTCACCATAAACTCCATCTACACAGACGTACTCCACTGCTTCCATGCACGGCGCCTCACCGCAGCGGCCCTGTCGTAGAGACGTTCGAATCAGTGGGTGCCGGACTTGCATTGGGTTCTTTTTGTTGTTTTCAATATCATGCTAGCTTGGGAAATCCGAGGGAAAGCATGTGAACCCATGGAAAAGCACGATTCGTCAGCAAGACCACTGATTGCAAGATGCGAGTAGCAATTAAACCCATCACTTGCAAATGCCATGGAGTGTCCCGCACCATACTTGTGTCTGCGGATGCACATCCGTGCCTTCCTTCCGCTGCTCTGATCGTTTTTGTTGTTGTTGCAATCAATGTACTGCGTTCCTGCGCGAAGGAGGTTCTAATCACATGACACAAAGCAGAACACCAACTTTCATCGTCACATGTTAGTGCCATCTCATGAAGCCCCCTGAAATGCTGCAAAAACCTTGGGAGCTTACTGGGAGTCCAACTGCAATACTGCGAAAAGCAGCGAACCCAGCGGTCGTTAGCCCATCAGGAGAGCGGAGCACCGCAAACCCTTTCGGAAGGTCTACAAACCCTTTCGAAAGGTGCGTCGAAACCCCCGCAATGTTTCAAAAACTGCAATGAAAGGCGATGAGTACCTGGTTCTTGCATGAATAAGTATAAGTACATAACAATAGGCAAATTTCAGTATATGAATATCAGTATATAAGCGCAGAAATGCAGAGATACACGCATACGTACCCTCCTTCCTACCTACCCATGTACATACGCATACATACATGCATACATACATACACATACATACATATACATACATATACTTACATATACATACATGTGCATACATATACGTGCGTACATGCGTGCGTGCATGCATGCATGCTTGCAGTAGACGCATCTGTATATGTATGTGTATACGTACATGTGTACGTCTACGCATACGTATGTGTGATTATGTGTATGTGTATGTGTATGTATACACGCAAACACATACTGCTGCTTAACCGATGGGAGAACCACCTCGGTGAGGAAAGTTACTTTGACATAAGACTGCTGATGAAGTTGATCGGACAAACAAGCAATGGTTTCCATTCTTGGAGGGGCGCGGCTTTGGCGATTCACATTCTACGACTCGTTCAGCAGCACTGAACAGTTGCATGCTCGCCAAGCCATGCTAAAATAACTCTGTGATGGAAAATAGCCTACACAGAGATCTGCACGCTTGCCAAGAATTGATCCAGAAGCACTGGCAGGATCCGCGTGCCGGATGGCACACCACTTGCCTCCAGTCCTTTGGCAGAATGTATGCGTTGCCGGAGCCAACGGTGAGGGCGTCTGAGAGGCTGAGTTGAAACTCTGTCGTCTGCGCCTACGATCGCGCTCTCAGGCAACGTCTTCCTGTTGGAGTTCGGCTACGAGGCCACGACTGCGGCGGGGCGCCGGGCTGCGGCCAGCGCCCCCGCACCACAGGCCAGGCGTGACACTTAGATTTCCTGAAGTCAAGAGCAGCTCAGCCACCATTGGCGATACATAGCCTCCGAATTTGGACCTGAAGTGTCCATGCTCTTGCTGGCTTTGCTGCAGTGTGGGTTCCAGCTTTGAGAGCATTTTTGTGCGGTTTGTTGTGGCCGCGGAGCGTGGGCAGGTCAGGGCCTTGGTGAACTTTCACGTGGACTACTTCCGCACCTCCCTGGCGGGACAGCAGCCACCGGGCCAATTCGAAGTTCTTGGGGCATTTTTGTGTCTCAGGCTACACACGATGGGCTCCAGCGCTGTCTGAATCAGGAATGTTCTCATGGTCCAGTTCCAGTCCATCACAGCTCTGCCGGTTGGTGGCAGCTTACTTCTGGATTCGCCGGCCGGCTTCGCGGTTGAGGCAGAACAGAGAGACGATGTGGTACTCGTTACTGCTAGCGTCCGTGGATCTTTCGGCCCTGGTGCAGGAGAGCTGCGCATTGCAAGCTGCGGCCGTGGAGCTCCCGTACCAGGTCCCTTGGCCCGGGAAGCCTATAGGCCCATGCAAGCCGGGTGAAGGCTAGAAGACACGAACACTACATGCCGCAGCGGAGCAAACACTCCATCCCCTTCTTCCCCTTGGGCCCTTGCGGGCCGCCTTGAAGTCCCACGGTCCCACGTTACATCGCAGGACTTGGCTTCAACCAGCGCTGCTCTCCTTTGCAGCGCTTTTGTCCCAGCCACGACGCAACGGCCACAGGCCACTGCAAGCCACTTGCACCACGCCGAATCCCAATAGCCAGAAGCTGAAGCCATCATAAGCCATCAAGCACCTGAGTCAGCTGTTTCTCCGCAGGTCACCCTGCGAGTGGTCACTGGTGAGGCTCGGGAGTTTTACCTGCGAAATCCGGACTCGCTCGAGACTCGGGCCTTTCGGCCGCAGGTGTCGGCGGGGCCCTATGTCATGGCCTTGGCAGCCCGGAATCCGCTGGTCCCGGAGCTGGGAGGAAGCAGGGGAGAGTGGCAAAGTGAGGGCAGGGAAACAGTGAGAACAGGCAAGCAGGGTGTAGGCAGGCATGCCTGCAAGCATTGTTGTTTGCATGTATGTGCATGTGCGGATGGGGCCCCCGCAAGGTGTTAACGCAACTTATTCACATAGGAATAACTAATGCGTCATGGCTATGCGAGGCATTTATGTTCGTATGCATGCCCGCATTTCATGAGTGCAAAGCAGGTGGATGTCTCACTCTCCTTGCTCCTAAGACGTGCCGTGGATAAGGACAGGTGACAGGTGTCCCTCTGCCTTTGTCCGCTGTAGCAGTGCTATGAAGTGCTCGATCAATGCGATGATGCGATCCACAAACCGTCGAAGCGGGAGTCTCGTTCATAGGCACAGCGGTCACGCATGTCCGGACTTTGTCGCCGTTGTCTGCTTTCGGTCGGACGGCCCGTGTTCACATGGACAGTGACCTGCGAGGCCTGGTGTGGCGACTTTCCAGTTTCACCAATGCTGTCGATGCGGAGGTGCAAACAAAGCCTCATGGAGTATTCTGCACAGGAGCTTTAGGAGGAGAAGCTTTTAATATTTCCTGTACACTCGGCTGGTACCGCACGTGATGTAGAAACAGCACTGCCGATGTGTTTTTCGTTTGTTTGCCGATCCACTGCAGGTGGCAGACCTGGGCTCGACAGTGGAAGGCCTTGCATCTTCAAGCTGACTGGTAGTTCTGCTATCTCATGGTTCAATGCTCAATGTACAAAGACGAGGAAGCTCGAATGTAAGCGCCGCTAGCCGCTAGTGCTTGTGCCGGCTCCTGCTCCATTCACTCTCGTCCTGCCGCACTTCACAGCCCACTGCTACTACTGATACGTCTGCCACCCTCCTGCGGCATTTCAGCTGTCACTCATCCTAAATAGCCGACGACCTGATGATTACCATTGTTATTACTGTGACTGCTGTTAATTTAACCGCTATGCGAACCCGCCTCGACCTCTAACTGTTGTAAATGGCCAAGATTTTGGGTGGAGAAAGGGCCGGTGGGGGTATTCAGCCAGCATCCTTAACACCCCCCCACCCCATCCCGCCTTTCCCCGCCGACCTCCCCCTCCCCCCTCTCAACCACAACCCGCCCCACAGCAACAACAAAAGCCACCGCGACACCAATAACGCTAGCTCCATACCCGTCCACACCTCTGCATCTTCATTCCTATCCCCTACAGGCCTATGCACCCTCTGTGCTCCATACACCCCTGTGCCATCCCTGTACTATACACTGCCCTAAGCCCTATAACCTCTTAACCTCTAATGTGCTGCGCGGACAAGGGCAAGGAGCGTGTTCAGCTAGCATCGTGTTGTTTTAGGTGGAGAAAGCGCGAGGGCACGGAGCGTATTCAACTAGCATACACCTCTGAAACACCCCTAATCCGTTACCCTATACCCTTAGAACGACAACCCCCTAACACGCCTGTACACAAATACACCCTCCACTCTCCACCCCCAAACCTTTTATAGCTCCCTATTCCATACTGCACTCCCCCTATGACCCCTATACCCTTGTTTTTCACCCTACACTCCTCAACTCCTGATACAGGCGTACCCACGGCCCCATAGACCCCCCCTACACTGCTGGGCCGAGCGGGGCAGAAGAGGCCCTGTGTACACCCTGCACACAAAATCCCACTTCCAGATTGTGGTCGATTTTGGTGTCTTGGTCTAAACACCTGGAAGAAGACCAGGCGGATTGCGCGTATTTTTCTCTTTTCCGCCGACGACGACGGCGACTAATCCTGCCCGTGCTGCTCCTGCAAGGCACTCGAAGGCTTGGTATTGCGACTATGGCTGGAACTTTCCTCGAAATGATGCAGCGGCTGTCGTCAGCTTTTCCACTTCATCATCAGCGCCACCACCCTCATCATTATTATCATCATCGTCATCATCAGCACCATCATCATAACCATCATCATAATCACATCTCTCTCTCCCTCTCTCTCCTTCTGTTTGCTCGTCACCATCATCAGCATCGTCATCATTACCAGCATCATCGTCACCACCGCCGTGATGATCAAATAAACGAGCGTAATCTCGCAAATTCCATTCCACCGCCAAGGTCCGACATGCCCCACGCAGAGGTTCCCTGCCCATCGAAAGGAATCCGCATCAAGCATTGCAATCATGTGCCGTCTCGGGTGGCCGCGACCTCCCCGGTCTCCCCTATTCCTTGTCACCCATCGCATGCAAGACCTTCACTGGTTCTGATTTTGAAACCTGTTTTAAATTTCTGTGGATTGTGTGTATGAGGTTACATAATTTTAAATTCAAGCTTCTGCAGTGTCAGGCTCCAGCAAGACATCCGCATTACAGCCAAACCTGGCCCGGGTTTGGAAAGAGTTATTTAGCATAGGACTGCCTGCTCTTGATCGAACTTCAAGCAGTGAGAATGGTGTGAGGCTCCGTGGCAGGCTCCTTTCGTTGGTCCTCTAGCCTGGTCTTCAATTGATACTTCCTTCTTGAAGAGGTGAGTGCACAGTTCACTGTGAAATCTTTTGCCACACGGAAGCTGCGTTGACACCGGGGCCCGGGCACTCAACGCAAGAGGTGTTCCAAAATGGAAGCCCGGCCCTGGTGTCGACAAAGGTTTGTCGACACCAGCGGGGACCTGAACCGGCCCATATGAAAGAAGCGACAGGTTAACAACACAGAGCCCGAAATAAGGATCATGACTCATGTCTTAGAGTTGGCTTGCAAACCATGGTTTCTGGGGTGTTGACAAGCGTTTGTCGACACCAGAATGGGGGGTCTGCAAAAAGTGATCCTGGTGTTGAGACACATGTCCCTGGTGTTGACAAGCATTTGTCAACAGTCTCAACGCCAGGATTTCTTTTTTGCAGACCCCCCCCCATTCTGGTGTTGACAAATGCTTGTCAACACCTGGATGGACCCTTTCTACTAGCATGTCTCCAACCCCTCACCAATACCTCCTCAGCACCTCACCAGCACCTCCCCAACACCTCCCCAGCATGTCCCCAGTACCTCATCCGACCCAGCACCTTGAGATGCTGCGAGCCGTGAAAGCAACTTGTATGTTGGGCGCACATATGCAGGCAGCCAACTTACGAGGTAAGACACGTGGCACCTAAAGGAAATAGAAATGAAATTTCTGTTGATCAGCCAAATCAGAACCAGTTCAGTCATCGAGACTCTGCAAAAAGGCTTCCAAGTGGAGTCGATGATGAACTTCGGTGGCCTCCTGGGTCCCGCCTTCTGCTCAGAATTCCAGAGCACTTGCAGGGTGGTTCATGGGTTCAACATTGTTCTAGGTTGGGAGTGCAGCTCGGTTATGTGGGCAGGGGAAAGCTTGGGAGTCTAGGGTTGCATAAGGTTGCTTGTTCCGGGCGTTTGGGAGATTGAGGATTCTGGGGCTTGGGATTCCTCTCCAGCTTTCGAATTCTTTCGCAGTCGTAGTCGTGGTGCGTGAAGGCGTGGGGCTTTGAGGCTCAATACGAGAATCATTGCTCGCTAAAGCAATTTTGGTTTGGTGCTGAGGAAATTGCCAAACGGGGTGTTGAGGGTCTGGACTCGATATCTCATTCTGCTTGGCATCGTGCCCAGAGCTCTGCTATATCAGAGAGTAGTTTTTGTTACATGTGCCGGTCCTTTTGTGCATGTGTTATATATATATATGTATATATGTATACACATGTGTCTGTAAACATACACACATGCGCACATACGTGCAAACATGCACATGCACATGCACACATACACACATGTCCGTATACACAATTGTACACATACGTACTGACATACGTACGTACACCAATTTATATAGACATACATACATACATACCTGCACGTGCGTACATACATACACTAATAATGTAACATAACGTACTACATGGACAGAGACGAGCGGAATGGCAGACAGGCAGGCAGACGGACAGACAGATAGAGGGACAGCCGGACGGGTGTCTCTGCAAACGTGCATAGCATGCATGCATGTGTACATGCATAGATACATGCATCCATACATACACACCCATACATGGGTAGATAGATCGATAGATGGCTATGTAGATAGATAGGTACGCAGATAAATAGATAGATAGGTAGATACATAGATTGATAAGTGCATACATACATATGTGCATACACCGATGTACGTGTGCATGCATAAGTACATGCAGATGTGTGTGTGTATACATACATACATGTCCTCGTATCTGTACATGTACATGTATGTGTGTACATTCCTGCCTACCCACTCCGCGGCTTTGCGGGCTTGAATACGGTCAAGCAGAATCGAATGACATGTCACCCAAAAGAAGTTCGTAAGCCGATGACATCCTTTCGATAGCTTCACTCCATTGAGTTGTCGGGCCGAACGGTCCCTTTAGGCTTGTGGCAATCATCGTGCATCTTGCTGTTGCTCTGAGTGCTCGTCGTGCTCCGAATTGTAGATGCTGTGGTTGATATGCAGAAGAAAGAAGCTCCGGACACCCCAACATGACGAACTCTTGCACACAGCATAGGAAAGTGGCGTGAATCCTGCAACCACGGGACGCGACGATCACCCTGGCCAGGCCAGGCCAGTTGCATGCTCCGCATCTGTGACAAGAAACGAGCTTGGAATCTTGGTGTTTGCCTGAGTCCGTGCAGGTGACCAACGTCATTCTGGCCTTCGACGCAGGGCTTTCAGAGTTGATTGGAGGGCCCTTACCATTTCACTCCACCCCAAATCTTTGGTGCTCCGAATGCCCAGAGTTTAGTCAATGCTGCAATCATACAGAGACAGCTCGGTAAGGCCAAACACATCCCAAGGAATGAACCTAGTGTCAGCTCTTCGGGAGTCTTACAAGATTCTGCAGTAGCCTCGAAGTTTGCCGAGGAGCTCGCCTCCACGCCCACCGGGGCCGGCGAGTCGACGCTGACAGTCAAGGACCGACATCGCACCAGACTCCAATCCGAGTGCTCCAGCGGACAGGGGACGATGACATCTAAGACGTGAACGCAACGTTCGAGAGTCAACCCGTTGAATCTGGCCAAAACTCACAGTCCGTGGTCCCTCCAGGCGCCGACCGGCTTCAGCTTCCCGGCGCTCTGCACTGTGGTAGTGACGGGAGCTCCTTGCATGAAGTCGTCCGATGTGCGATGGAAGCAACTTTCCGAACTATTGCTGTACTCGCTGTTAAGAGCTGGGGCGAGTTGCGGGCATCCGTGTTCAGATTTTGGAGGTCTTTGTGTGCAGCAGGGTTTATTGGGGAGTGTCTTCCTGAGTTGGATGATTTTTCTTGGAGTCGTCCCCGCGTGGGCCAGGATCTCGAGAAGTGTTGAGCATGTCCGGCTGACAAGCACAAGTCTGTGCAGGCCTCTAGTTTACTCCTTTCCTTTTCCTACGTGGTGTCCAACTTGAGTTTTCGTCGGGAGAAAAGTCTTACAACATCACCGAGAGCTGGCAGGCAGCTTGTTCCGCGGACCTAAAAGCCCAGCTTGAGACCCTCTCTACACATGTGTGATGCCCCTTGCAGCAAATAGCGGGTAGTGATCGTGAACATCTTCTTAGTCTTGGCCGCCACCAAGCACAACGAGCATGAACAGGGCAACAGCAGCAGTAATAGCAAGATCGTCCTTCATCACCCATCACGACCAAAAACAAAAGTTTTCCGCCTCCAGAGCCCAGGATGTCTTTGGACCGGGCGCGCTGATCCCTCTGGCATTCTCGGCTTTCGAGGCCTCTGCCGTAGTCAGCACCTGCGAAGGCCTGGCCGTGGCGTTCGAGACGATGTAGGCCCAAGAAGGGCTTCATGTGCAGTGGTTCAGGTTTTACAGAGTTTACGGCCTTCAGACGCCCCTTGCGAGCTGTTCTTCGCAAGGCAGTATTGCATATTGTGATTCATCGGTCCAGAACTTTCTTTGATTTAATCTGAGCCACTCTCAAGTGCTATGACGAGGATTCTGGAAAGTAATCACTGGTGCTCTCCGTGCCGTAGAGCAGCCCGAGCAGTGTAGCGGGCTCCCTGACCAGGCGGGGGCCGGACGGCGCGGCTGTCTGTGGCTCCGGGGTTGATCCGAAATCGTCGCTGCCCGGCAGCGAAACTGCGCATTTACTGTGTACAATGTGCGTGTACACGTTTACTCAAAGAGAACCGACAAGCACATAGCATGCAGTGGGTTTTGCTAGAGTGGTTCAAAGCCAGTCCTAGTATGTCCTAGTGATGCTCGGCTGGAATGGCTTGGCTGGTGGCAGGCAATTGCAGCGTAAGAGCTGCTTTAGAGATCAACTCCTGATTCATGACATGTCTTGTTGGCAGGTCAGTGTTTCATGCCGAGTACAACAGCCGAGTCCAGTCCTAGAATACATAAGAACAGGCCCTGGCGAAAGCCGTTTGCAGCTTGCAAAGCTGAGGGCAAGCGAGCAGAGGAGCTGACGACACGTACCAACAACCAGCGATAAACCAAGCACTCAGTCTAGGCCGGTCCTTCGAACCAGCAAGGTACGCAACACAACCATTGGAAGCATAAGGATAAGCAAAGTTCACAGGCGCGTGTCACATGCCTGTGCTTGTTCTAGTGCTGAATCGACCAAAAGAAAGCAGAACGATACGTCAGTCCTTTGTGCCCTCGGGTCCGCCCTCCCCTTTCAAAAAGGAAATCCCGAATCCTTGATCCCATGGCACAAGAAAGGTTACGTGATGCGGCTTCAGGGCGTAAATGGCGAGGAGACTGCAGCTCCTTGGGCCAGAGAGGGTTGCGACGTAAAGTCACGAGGATTTCTCCAGTTCTCGATCGAGGAGCATCGAAGCAGCGATCGGTCTCGTAAATGTCTGCTCCAGAAGATCTCATCCAAGGGTAGGATGTCTTTGCGTTGCACCTCTGTCAGGAACAGAACCTCTGGACCATCAGCTTCGCGGGCGAAGCAACTGACGCTTGTCCTACCAGGTTTGTGCTAGCAACGAATTTGCAAGACCTGAGACTTGTTGCCCGCACAACGCCTGAACAGGATCAGTCGTCGGTTACATAGCAGGATGCATTTTTCGAACTCCCAGCCGAAATTTGAGTAGCGACAGCCTAAATCAACTAAGGCTGACCCAGAAAAGCTCGAAGCCCACGAACGACCTTTACCTTCTTAGCCTGTATCGTTTGCCATGCCATCAGATCCAGAGTTCACCCCAAAAGCTCCCAAGGAGCCCTTTGAGGGCTACCGGCTTTGGCGCTTCACTGAGGCTTGCATTTGTCTTCGGAAGCATTGTGGGGTTTTCTTGCGTGGACGTTATGCTTGGGGTGCACTGAAGTGAGAAGAGCATCTGTGAGCGGGTAACGCGGTTTCAGTCTGGTCCAGCCACGAGACGTATCAGGCACCAGTCTCATTACGAGCAAGGCGTTAATTAGATTCCTACCACTACCAGCAGGTCGAACAGCGGAGGCATAGTCGTGTGACTGAGGTGCTACGCAATAGAATCTGACAGCTGCTTGCGATCCAGAACTTTGGAGATGCAGCTGACATGTGTTTGTCTGTGTGGCTGGAGGCTCTGACAAGGAAGGAGACATCCAGGTTTCAGCAGCAGCAGCAGGAACAGACCTTCCTTCGCAGGTTGCGGTGTTGCCAGATGCAACAGCGCGATCAACACCCGCCGAGGACTTCACCTGGATTGAGAAGAGCATTCAGCTGATGTGTAAGTTTGTTGTGTTGACCGGCTTGTCATGTGAGGCGAAACCATCGAAAGACGCGGGGAATTACGCGGGAAACATGTACCCAATTCACTTCAAAATGCTTCAAGAGTGGCATTGAAGTTGCGAATGACATCATCATGGTTGCCTCATGTTACCTCTAAAGCGTTGCCTCTTGATCCCGATCCTTTCTTTGGTCCGAGCTGGCAGTTCTCAGCCAGGGCCGTCTCTTTAAGTGTCAGTACAGAGGCCTTTGCCTTTTGCTTCTGTTCGAGGAGACACGCAACAATGTAACACTACGCTTCCGCACGACGAGCGCAGTGACATCCGCCGGCTTCGTTGCGCTTCAGGCACAAGCGAAGACACCCCTACGGACTCTCAAAGTGCAGATCTTTGCAGCGCTTTGTAAGTTAGACACTGAGGCTCTAGCAGGCTCTGTGCTGTGTGCCCTGGAAACTTTACGGGTTTGAGTTTGACACTGTAAGACACATTAGCAGGGTTCCTTCACTATTCCTGCTGCAAGTGCATAATGTTGATGATGCACACCTGATAAATGATATGTCCTGCGACACTTGAGCGGCGGTGTCACCATGTTTCAGGCACCTTTCGGCTATGTCTTCCCCACGCTTTGCCAAGCCACGTTGCGGCTGCGCTGATACTAGTTCCACTCCTTTGCACTCATCGAAGTTCGGGCTCGAGTGCTGAGTGCTTGAGCCTGTTTGCGTGGCCCTTGACTATCAAAGCTGTCGAGGCAAGAGCTGGACGCCGCGGACATCCCGATCGCTGGCGGAGTCGTTTCCTGCAGAGGCAGACAGCCCTTGGTGCTGGTTTTTGGATGACCCACGCCCCAAATCTGTGTCCTTCAACATCCTGTTCCGAGGCACGCCCCTCCCGGGACCGACGGCAGCCCTCCACCCCGTCACTGGACACGCTTTGGCCTGTCTGCGCGTTTCGACGTTGGCTGTTGCTGTTTTTCCCGCACCAGCTGCGCCTTGCTATGCTACCTACATCTTCCCGAATCTACCCGCTGCCACTTCCCTTCAGGTTTGAATCAGAAGTGCAAGACTCGCTACACATGTCCATGCAAGAGTATGATCTACAGATGGCAATGCAAAGGTGTGGGGGAGTCTCTCCCTGTGTGTATGTGTCTGTATGTATGTGTGTATATGCATGTATTACTGTATGTACGCATGTATGGATGCAGGTATGTACGTATGTATGCGGATGAGTATGTGTATGTACATGAGCATCCTCTCAACTTTCGTCATTGTAGTTAGGAGTATGTTGGTCTTGCAGTGGCGGATTTGGCCAAAACACGCGAAAACAGATGGGACATCTCACTAAGAGATGATGTGATGAATAATCGTCATGTGTTGTGATGTTTCATTGTCACCGCCGCGTTTGTGCCTAAGTTTTGTGTGTGATATGTGGCTAGGTCATCGATGCCCCAGTGGGTACCGTTTTAAGAGCCACTGTCCAATCTGATGGAATCATTGCTACTGTTGCTGTCACTGGTATCACCAAAAAATTGCGACGACGACTGCTCTCACCAAGATAGATTTCCACTCTTGCTACTCGTACTACTACTACTACTACTGCTGCTGCTGCTACTACTACTACTACTGCTACTGCTACTGCTACTACTACTAGTACTCCTGCTACTACTACTACTACTACTACTACTCCTGCTACTACTACTACTACTACTACTACTACTACTACTACTACTACTACTACTACTACTACTACTACTGCTCTACTCTTACTGCTACTGCTACTGCTACTGCTACTGCTACTGCTTCTGCTACTGCTACTGCTACTGCTACTGCTACTGCTACTACTACTTGTACTACGCACTACGTACTACGTACTACGTACTACTACTACTACTACTGCTGCTACTACTACTGCTACTACTACTGCTACTACTACTGCTACTACTGCTACTACTACTGCTGCCTCCACCGCCACTAGTACTAGCACTACCTGGTCCCTGTAAAGCGATAAGACCCCGCCAAATCATCCATAACCAGACCGGCAAGAATAAGTTTTGAAAAGCGCTCATATGCGCAGGCTACATAGGTATAAGTCTATGTGTATGTGTGCGCGTATGTGTATGTATACTTATACGCATACATACATACATACATACATACATAGATACGTACGTACGTACACATACAAATGTGAATGCACATGGGCATGCACATACACATACACACATGCATGCATACATGCATATACATATATATATATATATATATATATATATATATATATATTTATTTATTTATTTATACATGTATGTATGCATATATATAGGTACGTATACATATATATATATATACATATGTGTATAGATACGTGATTTGGGTCCCTCTGTGCCGACCGGTCTTCACCTTTACAGGTCGGGTCCTCCATGCTCGCGGCATTGGTGAAATATCAACTGAGCCTCAGTCGGGTTTCAGAGATTTCGACATCGTTGAGTCATTGTTGCTGCTGTCGCTATTTTGTGGATTTCTGCGGCCGTCGTGATCCTCATCCGAGTCGAGAGGGAGGGAAGTGTCAGTCAGAGGCACAGAGTATCGACAAAAGGAAGTGAACTCAGGAATGTGGTCGTTCAGAATCCCACTGTCATCGCCTTGGAGGCACTCGCCATCCTTCAGACCTATCTGACCGCTTTCCGGGCCAGAGAAATACCAGTGGATGCACATGTTCTGCGGCCTACTGCGTTGTCGGGAAGGCCGGGACGTGGCAGATTCAAAGCTATGCCACGAAGGAGGCAAGTGGCGGGAACCGTGCATGGGCAATGGCATACCCAATCAGGCATGTCACATTGGCTCCGCAAAGTTTGGACGCTGAGTTCCGGCACCTTCCCCGTCATGCGACAGGCCGACTATAGCAACCTGCTGGACATTGGCCACACGCCTTAGAACGTAGCAATCCGCTTGCGGTGAAGTAAACCGGAGCCTTCTGCAGTGCAGCATGCCCAAAACTGAATGCAGGGCAGGCCCTGTCAACCTCCAAGCCGACTGGGAGCTCTTTGCCTAGGTGAGGCTCCTGGCTTTCACCTCACCGAAGTTTTTCACACACTTCGGGTGTCGAGCCGAGTTGGGGTTCGGGGGAGCGGAGGTGCAACACAGCAGGAAGACGTGACGCTTGTAGCCGTAAGCCTACGGCTTCAAGAGCTTCTTCGTTGCAGACTGCTTCTTAGATCATCTACCCTCTTGCCACGCCTTCCACGATTGACGAGCTGGAGCTCAGAATGCTTCTTGGCTGCGAAGCGTTCGTTGAAGAGGCCCAGGCCGACCCAGGGACCAGCCTAAGGCAGATCCTCCTCTCCACATCGCTGGAGATCGGCGATGTCCTGGAGATCGTAGCTCCCGACGGCTACGATGTCACCGGCCGCGTGGCTTCGCAACCCTGAGCGCTGCTCTTTCTAGGGGGTGGGTGGAAACCTTGCTGCAGACATGCAGAACAAGGCTAAGCGACCGAGCCAAGCACATGGTAGTGAACATGAGCGATGTCCTGAATTCGCATGAACTGCGGCAGCCATCATTTGCTCTGCAGGCCCGCTCTGCTGTTCCAAGGCAACAGCACGTCTGAGTTCGACAACCTGCAGAGGGCATGCAACAAGTTCCGCCAGTGGCACCGTGACGAGCAATGTTGTATACTATAGTATACTGGTCCTTTTTCTACATTCGCTGGGGTTCAGTATTGACCGTCTGAGCTTGAGGTCAGAGCAGGTCGTGGAAGGTGAGCCATCCATCGCATTGGATATACAGGAAGAACTGGAGGTATATCCCAAATCCCGCCGACTTCAGATTGGGGGTGAGCCAAGCCGTTGCACGACAATTGTGCAGTGGGGTTGATAATATGACAGTGTAAGCAGGCACCACCTTGTCTCTTCTGTCCTGAATCAATCAATGCTTATTCGTGATCTTTTTCCTTGCTCTTAAGCTCGAACGCCTCACATGTTTCGATAATTTGAAGCTGTAAACAACAAGCCTAGCAAGCCCAAAGGAGCCAGCTTTCGTGACACACACACACATATATAACATGTAATATATATATATATATATATACACACATATGTATATGTATATGCATATACACATATACGCATTGTACATGCATGATATATATATATATATATATATATATACAGATACACACAAGGTGTCGCACTGTTGGCCTAGTTGTTTCGTTAGTGATTTCTGTTTTCGCAATGAAGACAACGATTTTGCAAGAGCCTTACGTCTGCATGCAAGACAACTTCTAGGGACCCAACAAAAATCCACGGTGCATAGCATGGACTCCCTGTCACGCAGAAGGGTTGCAGAGCTAAGGGCTTATGCGGGAATGCAACTCTCTTGCGCAGATAATGCCTATTGTCTCCCTCTCCCTCTATAAATATATACGCACACATGTATGCGTAGTTACTTACATATATGTAAGTCATGTGTTTCATGCTGACAAGCAAACATAGAGGAACCGTGACTAGAAGAAGTTTGGGTTTCGAAGCGGTAGTGATAGTGGCAAGAGGCCAGCGAGGGTTCATTGTCGTCAGAAGTGGACTGGCTTGACGAGCTAGCACAGAATTTGAGGGCTTAGAGCTTAGGGTTTCAGGTTCTGGAATCAAGTCTTCAGGTCAGCAGCTGCACTGCCGATACCTACTTGCGACATCCGGGTCGTGCACTTCGAGTTCGCCACCACAGGTGGGCTCCATGGTCAGGGGTTGCAGGAGTGACTTGCTGGGCTTCTTCTCAGGGCCCAGAACATATTGCGGTGCTATGTCACAGTCGACGTCAAGGACCCCTTTATCCTTCAAATCCTGGTCCAACGTCTAAACTCAACCGTGGGTACTGGTGGGCCGGGCTCCAAACAAAGCAGCTGCTATCGCTGCTGTTCAACGTGTCGGCCCCTGACATCTCAAGATGGCATCATTTACAACATCCTCAGGGGAGGCGCCAGGACGAGACGCGAGTTCGGAGCTAGTCAGGATGTAGACAACTGCCCGTGGCACGACTTTTCCGGTCCAGGCCTTGCCGTTGTCGACGTCCCGGGCGCGCAGGCGCTAACTCCTCTGATGGACTTCAGTGCCCTTTGGATGCTTCAAGACGTCCAATCAGCGAGAGTTCAGTGGAGGTTGCTCAGCCCAAATCAGAAGACATTGAGCCAAATGCTGGAGAGTGCCCAGAATACGGACGGGACAGGGCGAACCCATTGAAAGTTGCGAGCCTTCGACTGTCAAGCTTTCGCATCGCTCTGTTCGAAATAACCGTGCCCGGACCTTCGGTAGCAGTTTGGTCTCGCGAGGTTTCTGTCGTGTCGTTTCGTGTATCAGTGTCTCCGTTGTCTTTGGTGAAGTGTTTCTTTCGTTATTCCTTTCGTTCATGGTGGTTGTTATTTTTTTTCTCTCTCTCTCTGTCTCCCTCTCTCCCTGTCTCTGCCGCATCTGCCTCAGTATGTGTACGGTCTTGTGTCGCAGATTGTCACGGGCCTTCACGAAACGAAAAGGGCTCACGAGTTGGCACTGTCTTCGCCTTCGATGGGCTTGGAAGCTATAGCTGCTGTAGCCTTGACTTAGAGCCAGAACTGTCACAGCCTTGCTCTCCCAGGTGACATCTTTGTACCCACGAAAGACGCTCAGTGTTCAGGCTTGATGGGTTCCAGCACTGAGTCAGAGACACGTCTGACAGAAGCCCCCGAAAACCAACAAGGGGCGTAGGGTTGGCTTCCTGGACGGCTTGCTTGGATTGGGACTTGGCGTCCCCAGGATTTGTGAGAATCTCGCATGCTCCGTTTCTGCGTCAGGCCACCACGTTCCATGGCGAGCAACGACGGGGCACCGCTGTGGTCTCCGCCAAGACGGTGCCCGCCGAGTGTCGGTTTCAACGCTGGTCCTTGGGGCGTAGGGGTGTCTTCTGCATCGAAGCTGAGCGAAGCTTTGACAGGTGCCCGGGCAGCTGGTGACTCCACGGCTGCTGGAGATTTCGGTTGCGCAGTCGGAGTACAGAACTTTCATTGACGATGTGTCGGCTTTCAGTGAATAGGAGTTCGCGGAATTTCGGATGAGGAGGACAGTCATGTTATTAAGTCCTCCTGTTGCCACCAGTGATCATCAGTGTATATCAGTCTGAAGATCCGTGGCCGCAAAGTCCTGACACCACAGTGCACAGGAAAGATCTGTAATTTGGGCGCCCCCGTTGCCAGGTTGTCCGTGCCGATGCTTTTGTGGCTGTCCAGAGCCTCGCCTCGCTGCAGCTGACCTTCCGTGTGAGCGGCACGGCTGAAGGGTCGTCTACTGATGGTCTCTACGCTCGTCTTAGGCTTTGGCGAAAGCCCAGGTCAGGATGCGCAGGCACTGCACATCACCACGGAAGTCCAGGACGAGAGCGACAGCGTCTTCGACAGCTCTAGATTCTAGCGCCCAAACAGCCTCTCATTGTCTTCAGGACGCCGCAAGCCAAGCCGAGCCCTTGCGATTCGACTTTGCTGCCGCCACTGCGATTGTCGTGGGCACGGAGGCCATGAAAACTCGTGAGTCTCTGCTGTTCGTGCCCTGGGCCAATTTCGGATTGCAGGTGAGCCAAGTGATTCGAAGCAATGCATCGCTGCTCTTGCACATGGCTCTGGAGCATCTCGGTCTGCAGTGAGTCGGAAAAGCAATCAACCATGGCGAAGTCGCCTGCGATGAAGTTTCGGTAGGGATCTCGGTGCTGCATGGTCCAGGCAGGGACGTGGCTACAGCTTGACGCTCGGATCAGTTGCAAATCCCTCCACTCCGGGGACAGCATTGTGGACACTGACGAGCTATGTGCCCAGGTAGAAACTCATCAGAGAGCTGCAAGTAGAGCGAAGCCGGTGCCAGGATGTGCCAGAACAAGCCTGAGCCTCTACAGTAGACTCTAGCAGGTACTGGCAGAGGACGGCTCCTTGAACTTGGCTGATCCGCGGGATAGGCGCCGATCGAGGGAGGAATGGTGATCGAGTTGGAGGAGAGGTCTTGGATGTTCCCGTGTTGGAAAGTTCGGTCGTTGCGTGGGACTCGTTCGCATTTGTCAGGGATTTTGGGGGCGATGTCTTTTGTCTGACCATGCCGCGCAGCCTAGGCCTCTGTTTGTTGTGTTTTCTCGTGAGAGGTAGCAATGAGCAAGTCTTTGAAGGCTGTATAATTCAATGCGGAAGGTCGAGGGCTTCCCACTCCGCTGCTGCTGCACAGGTCGGTCAACTTTGCGGGGCCTGCCGCTCGTCAGCGCGCAGAAGAGCTCTGGTTTGGCTTGGTCATAGATTTCAGTTTTGTCACTGACACCAGCAATCGCACATGGTCTCAAGACTTGTTTACTTATTTGGCCCTCGATGGTCTGGCATTGTGACTTCAGGTGGCTTGCACATTGTTAGTTCTTGCTTTAATGAGATGAGCCTTTGGCACCATCTGAACGTGCTACCCGGGCAAGCAACCCGTGCTCTTATGGCCCTCTCTGGTTGGGGATTCGAGCGGGTGTGGGGCAGATCGCAGAGGGATAGCACTTGACTGAGCATCCTGCTTGCTGATGCTAGGCGTGTCTGACGTTTCATGCTTCTTTGTCGAACGGTGCAAGCATCCACGCTGTAGGTGACGCTCAATCGCTTGAGCATCGATCCTTCGTCCACAAGCCTCACCGATCCTTTCTTCGACGCTTGCCAGGATGGAAGGCAGGGGGTCAACTCCGGAGAAATTTCGAAGAGCCCAGGATATCGTCAACACGGAGCTGAGCCTGTCTTTCGTGGCCTTTCCTCGCGTAGTAACTGGCGGGTGGCGGCCTCAGATTTGCCAACCAATTCGTGGGCTGTGAGTCAGACCTGATGGAGACAGATTTACTTTCAGCCTGCAACTTCAGAGCTTTCCTGATACGTCTGTGTGGCAGCTCACGCTCAAAATCGCAAACGGGTGTGGCGTTCCAAAAGGCAAGAAAAGACGCAAGAGACGCCAGCCGTCCTTGTCGAGTCGAGGCAATTCCTCGTCCTCTCTGCCCCGGCCGACTTCGCCTTCCTCGAGAAGAGCTTCAGCCCAGGAGAAGGCGCCTTGGCACGCGCGTGGGCGGAGCGGATCGGGTCCGGCATCTGCCATCGTTCCTGGCGAGGATTCCCGCTGATCTCTGGGCAAGTTGCAGTTGTCGAGCTGGAGGGTAGCCGGCCCAGTCATTCGGCAGCAATAATTGCACGTGAAGTACCACTCGAGGATCTAGGAATCTGGGATTTGCGGTTTGGGGAGGCTCGGCGTGTATTCTGTTGTTGTAAGGTTTCGGGCAGCTGGGTTGATGGATTCAGGGGCTTGGCCGATTGTCTTGCGTTCAAGGTGAATGTTCGGGTGGACCCTGAGCCGAGATGGCATGTCGGAGCTTTTACGATCCAAGCCTACGCTGCGAGGCTATGCCGTGCAGATTCTTTCGCCGATCCTGCCAAGTGCCTGGGCTGGAACCAAGGGCCTCTAAAATCCTTGACGGTGGCGATTTCGGGTTTATGCCTGCGAATGAAAGCTCACAACAGAAGTGGCTGAGGGTTTGAGTTCTGCACTGTCCATGTAAGGCCAAGCCGTGAAGTTCTCGGTCAGGCCGGGCGTTTCAAGACGGGCGATTTTTGTTTGCCCTTGGGGCCAATGTCTTTGGCTTCGGATGGCTATGGTGCTGAGAATCTATGTTCTGACTTTGCTACAGATTGTCAGCTCTGCAGCTCTGCTGCGCAGGTGTTCTCGTGCAGCAGGAGAGCACTTTCCTACCAGGGTCCCTTCATGCCATACCTGCCCCGCCTAGCCCTTGCTGCGAAATCCAAGTCTGTTCTGCAACCCGGCAATCACGTAGGCTCAGGACGCCAACAGCGCCCGAAGATCTGCAGCTTGGGCTTTACATGGCCGGGAGGTGTATCCGGCCAGGGCCAATTGTCTCCTTTCTGCAACGTGCGAACGTAGGGAGCATCCGAAGCCGAATCTGCGAATGAAGTCCGATATTCCAGTCGGGTTGCAGGCCGCGGCCTGAGATCTTTGTTGTTGGAACGGTTATGAGCAGGAAACGGATAGAACCAACAAAGTTCAACAACATCTGTCTATGAGGTTTCGATGACTCACGTGATCTGTTTCCAAAAAGCAGCTCCTTAATAACTTTGCTCCTCCACTCTCTTTTCCAACGGTACAGTCAAGGAGCCTCTGGGCGACTACGCACCGCTCCAACCTGCTTCTGCAAGCATGCCGAGACTCGCAATGCCAGGCGCGCAACCTTTGCTCTGCCATGTGAGCGGTCTAATCAAAGCCCGGGCTTAAGGCTTCTTGCTTGTCCAAGAAACTATGTGAACAGATGGGATTCTGTGCCTTTGGTCACGTCGGCCAGGTATGGTTGAGTCGGACGGCGCACATGCTTGTATTCAGCTGACGTCCCGGGTCCCGGCACACTACAACGTTTTGGCCGCATGCGCGAATGCCGAAGATGCTCATGTCTTGCGCAACCCTACAACTTCTAAGCAAAAACATGCATCAGAAAAGTTGTCAGGGTATGTGCTACTGTTGGCTCACATGCTGTTCAGACGGTGCCAGTTGCCATGCGTGTGGCTCGCGCATCCGCATTGGGCAGGACCCCACTGCCAGCAACGACGACCTCTTTCCAGGCCTGTGGTGAGTGGCTGTGGGAGCTTGACGCAAGACCTGAGGACGTGACATGCACCCACAGCCATAGAGCCGAAGTCATTGTGGTGGGCGACCGGAACTGCTGGGTCATGGATATCGCGTACCCAAAAGTACTTAGCAATCGCTTTTGGATCCTACTTCGGCCCTTTTCCAGTGGCTTGCGCAGCGCTGTTACACTGCATGTGAGAAAAGCTCAAAGTCTCAGAGCGCCTAAGTGTCAACCTGATTTATCGGTTCAAGCACACGAGGCTTCGAGATGAAAGCATCCTTCGGAACTGCGAGTATCACGCCCCAGGCCGCGTGTGTCCGGAATCTGACGAATCCTTGAGAAGGTTTCGACTAGTGACCGGTCAAACTTAACAGATTCCAAGATCCACGATGTCAACTCTGATTCTGAGTGATCTCCAGTCATAACAGCATGGACACGGTGACCTTTGGTCTGCTGCCTGCTGCAGGCAGTCCGTCTAGGTAGCACGACCTCGCCTGCACATGCATGCATGAGGCATGCATGCGCACCTATACACATAAATAATATACATAGATAGTTTTATGTGTATATATATATATATATATTGTACACTGATATGCACTAGTACTGATATACATAAATATTCCTTGACACACATATGCACATGCACGAGCAAGCAGCTGTTATGCTCGCCAAGGTATTTCTGAGGTTCGAACTCCATGATTATGCAGGGTGGTGGGGAGCCCACGACAGACCAAAGGATTGTCTCAATCACAAGGTTGACCCACGCCCAAGAGCCCTGACATGCATGCCGCCGTGGCAGGCGAACGGCGCCGCGCCACAGCTGGATGTGACAGTGACGCTGATGATTAGCCCGAAAGTGCCTTTGACTGACAGGAAGCCATGTACTCTTGTTTGGCCACCAACCCCTTAAGTTGTGTCCAGTCTGCGCGAAGCCGGCCATGATTCTTGTGCTCGAGATTTACCGGTATTGTATTCTCAACTAGATCCTGCTGTAACTAATGCTATTTCCATTGCACCGGAGGGAGCTATCATCCGGGTCACCTCAGGCGACTCTGGCGTCTCTGATCGAGAGCGGCACAGTGCATTTGCGGATTCGCCACTTGGCTAGAGGGTCAGAAAGCAAAACGAACAGAGATAGAAGGAGGGAGAGACCCGTTGGCGGTCGTCGGACACAGTCCATAGATGTCATAGATGTCCGTAGCATGGCATCGTGTGCAAACCCATGCTCGGATGCCTCTATAACCATTATACGCAACCTCTACGCAGCTTTCTGTATGGCATAGGAGTTCGTGAACATCCTTCAGAACTTGCTTGCAAGCAGGCTGAGCTGCGACCCAAGGGCCACTCATACCAAGCCGACCTCGCAACGAATAGAGCTTAATCTGCAGCCAACTACGAACAGAACTTAGTCAGAACTTGTCCTCGAGTCGTCTGCAAGTTGAGAGAAGTTATACTCTTCGTGCTGTCAGCCGACGGAACCGTGAAGAAGTGAAGACGGGACGAGCGTGCTTCATGGACAAAGGGACAGCTAGAAGGGCTTTCTGGATATGCCCCGGGCCCCCGGCCCCTGCCTTGAGTTAGCCGATAGAAGCCATGGCCCGGCGCATTCGAGTGCTGCTGCTCAGCGGCAGCTACGTGATGCTGGAGCCACTTGGCTCCCATCCGTGGATACTCGAACTCTCAGGGCCAACTTGCACAAAGCGAGGAACACCGAGGATTCCAGCATAATGATGATTGATGTCAGCGCCGTTTGCGTAAGACGTAAATCCAGACAAATCATCCGATGGTTCGCAGCAAGACTGCGAGACGCTGCGAGACCCTGTTGGAAAGGTTTTGCCCAAGTGCTGCTAGGTAGGGCCACATACCTGCGAAGTGCATACATCGAGTGTCAGTGGAAGGCAATGCCTGGAGCATCTACCGAAGCTCGTCCAAGCAGAGATCAGCCCATCAAGCTAACTATCACTGGCAGGGTGGAGGAGCACTCCACGGTTTCAGAGCTCCGTGCAAAAGCAGAGAAGGAGCTTTGGGATCAGACCCTCGGCTCTGACTCTGACGTGCTGCTCAAGCCTGGAGATGTTTTGCGGCATTTTGAGGGCACAGTGCATGTCTGCAGAAGTCGTGGCTTTGTTGTCTGACCTCGCTAAATTTCGGAAGCCGTGTAGAGTCTAGAGGTTCAATCTAGAGGTTCGAAGCAGCCCTTATTGAAACCGCCTTAAGAGATAAGAGAAGCGAAGAAGGAAGTTGCTGGATCCCGCTGCCCACCTGCGCTGGCTGGTCACTGCTGCCGGCCTGCGGCTCCCATGGGTCCGAAGGGGCTGTTTGAGGGAAGTCTCTTTGGGGGTTGGAGTACTTTGCCAGCGCTTCGGGTCGTCCGCCTCCGACGAGTTGCCAAAGCCGCCGCTTGAAAAAGGGGCCGTTGCCGACAAAGGGGTGGAGGGGGCATGAAGAGGAGGGGAAATAGAGGATCGCTGTGGGAAACTCCGCTTCCCGAAGCCGAGGCGAATTTTTCTGACGCTTCGATGTGGAAGCCTCAACCTTCATAGTGAGAACAGTGAGCGAGTGAGTGAGCGGATGGCCTGGGGTGCGCTCCGGCCCAAGCGAAACGTTTCCCCCCGCCATCTCTGCCCCCTCCGTTTTCGTCATCGGGGAAATCCAGCAAGAGTTCGGCGCTCCTCAATCCCTTGGCAAGACAGCCCACTTGTGAGGAATCGAAGCTCTTCTCCCTGTTATCCCTCATGCAGTACTAAGCTGGGCGGACCGGCTCTGAGAATGGGCTTGGGGTGCCGGGTGGCCGAGCTAAATACGCACACGCACCGGCAGCAAGACAAGCTCAGCTGATTTTTTGTTGGCTTCGCAGACTCAAGCAGTATTCCCTTGGCGTGCGGGGCAAAGCCTGTAACTGAAGGCTGGCACCACCCTCAGAAGGGGGTCGTAGTGAGGGCAGATACAACAGCAATGTCAAGACAAGGAAGAGCGGTAGCACGAGGACTGGGCACTCCCCTGGCCTTCTGTTGCATTTCGGATACTGTCCTATGCCGGCTACAGTGACACTCAGAAGGTACAATTCAATAGTGCGCAACAGTATGCGACCAGAAATCAGGGTATTGTTGCACAAGTCTTAAGACCCTGATCGTTGCGCAGGCAGAGACTCTCGGAAATCTCAGTTTCGGGGACGAGGACTGCAAGCCGCAGCCGCCGCGTCGTCCTTTCGGTAGGCGTAGGCGTCGTCGTCGTCGTCGTCGTAGTATTAGCAGTGGTGGTAGTAGTATAGTAGTAGTAGTAGTAGTAGTAGTAGTAGTAGTAGTAGTAGTAGTAGTAGTAGTAGTAGTAGTAGTAGTAGTAGTAGCAGTAGCAGTAGCAGTAGCAGTAGCAGTAGCAGTAGCAGTAGCAGTAGCAGTAGTCGTAGTAGCAGTAGCAGTAGTCGTAGTAGTAGTAGCAGCAGCAGCAAGAGTAGTAGTAGTAGTAGTAGTAGTAGTAGTAGTAGTAGTAGTAGTAGTAGTAGTAGTGGCAGTGGGCGTGGGCGTGGGCATGGGCGTGGGCGTGGGCGTGGTCGTGGTCGTGGTGGTGGTGGTGGTGGTGGTGGTGGTGGTGGTGGTAGCGGCAGTAGTAGTAGTAGTAGTAGTAGTAGTAGTAGTAGTAGTAGTAGTAGTAGTAGTAGTAGTAGTAGTAGTAGTAGTAGTAGTAGTAGTAGTAGTAGTACTCGTACTAGCACGAGTACTAACGCTAGCACCAGGACTACGACTAGTGCTAGTGTAGTGGTAGTGGTAGCGGTATAGTGCTAGTGCTAGTGCTAGTGCTAGTGGTAGCAGCAGAAAGTAGACATCAGTACTATCGGCATTCGTGGCTCAATGAGTATCAGCATCTACAGCAGGAGCGGCAGTTGTGTTGGTGCTACTAATATTTTTGCTGCGAAGATGCTAGGAATACTAGTTTATAACACAACATGCCATAAGCGCCAGCACACAACATTGATGTTAAGATCCAAAAGGAAACAAAGCAATGCTGCCTGAGTAATTATCGATGGCTATTGCCATGATGCGGTTTCGCGAACTTTGATGCACTAGATCTTGCAACCAGACTCGGGCACAGGATACTTTGACGGGTGTTACCATGAGAAGTCGGACGGTGACTTGCGCAGCACCCCGGTCAACCCACTGGGAAGCCCCCATGCGTCCTTCCAGTCTCGACCTAATGCTGGAACTCTCGCCGGCTTTACTTGCCATGGCCAGAGTCTTCCTGAGTTTATCAACTGAATCTGCAACAAACTATATCTTGCCAGCAATGCCGATCTGCTGGAAGACATAAGTGTTGTCATGATGAGATGCAGCTCCGTAGCAGGTGAAGTCTGGCCCTGCATACGCCGAGCTGGTTGGCGATGGCACAGTCCTTTGCTTAGTAGTGGCCATGGCTGCCAGAGACCATGTTCAGCTACACGTGTACCACGATACCATGTACATCCACCAAAGATGCGATTTTGCCGCCGAAGCATTCAGAGTGCTCGGAAAGTCATTTGACAACTCTCAGCTGCAATTACTCACGGCTCGGATGCCTCAAAAAGTAGCTCAATAATTTCAGGAGGTGTTATGTCCGCACTTTTGTGCATCCCGAATACACAGGACTCGAATAAGGTTGGAAAACTTGCTTATCGATGGCTCCCGCACCAATCAGTGTTCAACGTAACCATAGTCGCGGGCGTGTGTGACACCTGGGGTTCAGTGCAGTTCGCAGAAGGATTAAACAGGGCGAACGCAAAATTCCGACTCCGCCGGCCCAACGAGGTGAGGACCTGGGGCAAGGCCTCGAAGGAAGGCCCTGGAGTGGATCACGGCCTTCGCGAAGTGTCCCTTGGCCCATAGGCCGAGGTCACAGTCGCGAAAACATGCAACCAGTTGCCACACCACTGTCTTTTTCAGGTCTTCTTGTCTTCGATCTTGTGATGCTCTCAAGAGAGCCGCTGAAGAATCAAACAGCCTTCCTTCTGCCCATGTGTAAGGCTCGCAGTCCGGCAGGGTTCCCAGATTGCTGCCATGTCGGTCAGTCCTGGCTCGAAATGCAAAGTCTCGACACAGTACGCTCCAACCAGGTCACTTGAAGGAGCGAGGCTGCAGGAACGTCAGAAATCAGCCGAAAACCGCGAGAGGCAATTCATGCACCCGGCCACTGTTGGGTTTGCGCAAGGACCCAGCAGTGGATGACCACTACCATAAAGTGGCAAACCGAGACGCGTGAAGGTTATTACGGACTGCGAGGAAGAAGCCACTATTGACTAGCAAATTATCATGTAGAATCTGAACGGTACTCCATGCAGACATTCGACACAGAACAACCTGAGGCAAGGCACCATGTCGTATGTCTATACAGAATCCTTTTCACCAGCGTAGAACCCAGGATTGACCTCTACGGCTCGGACGACGGCGCTTTCGCGGCACTGCGCGAGGCCAAGGGTTAAGAGGGGTTAAGCCGGTTAAGAGTAGGTTCTTGCACTGCTCAAGAACGCTGACTGGTACTTTCAGGCAAGTGTGTGGTGTGGTGTATATGATCTGTTTGTTCGTTGTCCCGGGCCCTAAGGCTGTCAATCGGTCGGCGAGACAGCGATTTCACTACAATCATAAGGTTTGTCGACTTGCATGTAGTTGCCACACCTAATTTGTGCTTGGTGTGTCGTTTGTCTGTCGTACAGGATGCTGCCGGGAGCGTCCAAAATCCCCGTCTCATTGGGGCTTCCGGAGTGAGTGAAGCGCGGACAGGACGGCTCGGTCTTCACCTGGGGTCACCCATCCAAGGGCGGCGACAGCAGCTTCGGCGAGAAGAATGTCCCCATATGTCCCCATGCTGAGGGGAGGATTTTAGACTTTAGCTTTCGGTAGCGGTCGCGGCGGTAGCGCATACATGTACACTGTTTCTGGGACGCAAGACTGCAGGCCCAGGCGGCCAGGTGTCGGAGCATCGAAGGGCTTGCAGGAAGCTGGCGGGCTGGCAGAGAAGAAGAACTGACTCTCACCGTCAGACCGTCAGGCTGGGTTGTGCAGCATCAGCTTCACGATGTGCAGACGATGCTCGTCTTGTTTTAGAGTCAGGCATGCAACGACGACTCATCCATGAAGCGCAGCAGTGCGACAGCAGAATGATCTTGCGTTGTCGTTCCAGCATCTCTAGCCAGTGTCAACTTCCCTGAGCTCTGGGACTTAGGGTGTTTCTTTTGTTCGCTTACTCCTTTGGAACACTGAAATCTCCCTTGAACCCCAAAACCCAAACGTTGAGGAAACATCAGCAAGCAAGCAGACATTCTAATGTGTCCAGCCTCTCAGGATTCAGGCTACTTCTTTCTCGTTCGCTGCGCTGCGGTCTGATAATACCGTGGTCACTCAGCTTGCATCCCGACGCATCATGAAAACCATCATGACAGCTGTAAGGGACTGTATCGAAGAATGCTGGTGGCAGCAGTCGACGTCGTGGCAGTGATACGGTCAGGGTTACATAGTCCATGGTTCAGTCGTGCTAGTCGAGTTCTGCTTTGCATGGTAATGAGAACAGCAGCAGAAAAGAGCAAGAGGCAGCACACCGGCATAGCAAGAAGAGCAGGACGTCTGCCTTGGCGTGGGCTGGCAGAGGTCAGTACGAATTGAGTTTGCAATGCTTGATGATTTACCTAGCTCAATCCCATGTGTATTTGTGTGTATCCATCCATATATATATATATATATATATACACAGAGTTGTATGTACATATGTATGTGTATATGTATGTTTGCTTATTTATGCATTTGCGCTTGTATGAGTTTCGGGTATATGTATACGTGTAAGTACCTGTGTAAATGTGTTATGCAGGCATGCAAGTATATTTGCATATTTGTATGTACTTGCCTGGGTATGTATGCATTGACATATATGCATGCATGGCTGCATGTACGAATGTATGTATGTATATTTACATGTATTTGTGAATGTGTGTATTTGCGCATGTATGTATGCATGCATGCACGAATGTAGGCAATTATAATATGCATGTACGCACGTATGTATGCATGTTCCTGAAATTGTGCCCATCCCTCGGCGGCTTAAGAATAGGACATTTCCATGAACGTTTTGCATGCAGCTAGACTCTAGCCGCACAGATGGAGGTATGTAGACCCTGCAAACGGCATGGCCTTCTTCGGAAAGTTTACCACTAAATCACAAAAACATCGTTCATCTAGTCCTCCATGTAGCTGCGGCAGCTGACTCAGCCTGCTCGGAAATTTCATTCACATTGCGACTGTACTGGTTTGATGGTTGACTGGTGGACTAAGCGACACCTCGCTCATCTAAAGTCGATCTTGGCGAGTGTACTCAGATAGGGCTGCGTAGGAAAATTGGTGAGTCCAAATTTCGGCTGCCATCGCGGAGAAGCTAGATTACCAGGTTAGCGGTACAACTGTAATGAAACTGACTTTCGTCCGGGAGGTGAGAACATTTTCCTCGGTTAGTGCCTGCCCCAGCGATAAAACAGGATACAGGACGCTGGCACAACAGTGTTCACTTCCACCGGCAAGTGAGAGCCACGCAGCGGACCGAAGTCACAAATGGCGACAGCAGAGTCGCGAATCATCGAATCATTAGCCAAGGCTTTCACATCCCTCGAGGATAGAGTCTAGTCACAAATAAGAAGCATCCGGCCCACTCCGATGACGAGAGAGGTGGCACAAATTCAAGTCACAAGGCCTGTGCTTGTGACTGTAAATGAGAAACGAAGGGCTCCAAGATCCAAGGCTTTTTGGCTTTCGCTTCACCATGGTGTCGCAATATAAGCAAAAGTATTCCCTAGCTTCAACTGCTTCACCCCCATGCGCAAGACACCTCACAGGCCTTGCTAAGACCAGAGGAAACTTCCTGCTTGCGGCCCTTGGTCGGCCCCATCGGGACGCTGCGTGGCTTTCCGGATCACGTAGAAGCACGTATCGTGTGAAAGCCTTCCCGGTCAAGGTTCCCGGTTCGATGGCACTTTGCACACTCTGGTCATTTTTACATCGATGCATCGGATTGTGATGTTTTGTCGAGAGACAATGCGATGCTTGTGCTCTCGTCGTTCCTACTTATGCCGTCTTATACGTACGTGAAAGGCCAATCAATGAGAGACTACGTCGAGGTTTTAATGCAGAGCCGCCGATCGTCGATATACATGTACTTAGAAGTTGTACGCATTTTGGCTCCATGGCATTTCATAACAAACCAGGGCTAGGGATATCGGTAACGGCCAGGTGACTTGGGGTCATCCCGATCGAGGAGGCCTTGTAAGCCTCTTGGAACCAACCTTTCTGTAAGTTATGATGAGTCAAACGACTCTGGGTTTCCGATTTACTGCGCTATGGCCGCTATGGCGGCAATATGCAGTAATGATGCCCCCACCCCTTCACGCTCTGCACCCCCGGCATTGGTCCTAGCTCCTTCATGTGAAACTCTATGCCGTATATTTTGACTGGTGTATCTGGTGTAAGGTTATGACAAGGGTTGTCCTGCCACTGCCGAGTATCGACATGTCTATGTAGGGCTAATCACAGACTACCTTTGTTCTTAGTCGGAGAACTTTGGGAAGAACTGCAGCCATTCGTGATTCAGTCGTCAATAGGCGTGGCGTGTTGCTTCGCACCAGTTTAATGCGATCTGACATGTTTCTGAGTTGGTCCTTTTGCATCGTCACTTGTGTGCTGGATGTTGTTCGCCAGTACTCTCATGAGTCCAACGAATGCGGAGGGCTCGAGAGTGTGTGTGTGTGTGTGTGTTTGTGTGTGTGTTTGTGTGTTTGTGTGTGTGTTTGTTTGTGTGTGCGTGTGTTTGTTTGTGTGTGTGTGTGTGTGTTTGTTTGTGTGTGTGTGTGTGTGTTGTGTGTGTGTTGTGTGTGTTGTGTGTGTGTGTTGTGTGTGTGTGTGTGTGTTGGGTGTGTGTGTTGTGTTGTGTGGGTGTGCGGGTGCGGGTGCGGGTGCAGGTGCGGGTGCGGCGGGTGTGGGTGTGGGTGTGCGTGTGGGTGGGTGACAGGCCCTGTTTGCCAAGGCCACGGGATATGTGAAGTGATTGCAAATGGTATGTGACAGTGATATAAAGACATGCCGCAATTAGCAGCATTGTTTGTGAATAAAATAAGGGGGTATGCCACGAAGCCAGTTTGTCATCACGGAAGGTGTGAGGCAAATGTAAGAGCTAACTTGTAAATCAATCTAGTGCGTAATGTGAGCGTCTGCTCAGACCAGTTGCTTCAAGACGCTGCCAGGCACAGGCTTCATGCTTTTTTGTTTACTCCGAAACTAGTTGGCGCGGAATCTGGGAGTGCAACTGAGACGGTACCAACGAGCTTGCCGACGTCAAGCAGATCCAGGCATCGGAGAGTGGTATCCAGTGCTCCTGTCAGTAGCTGTACATACAGACCGCCACAGTGTGTTGCTTTCCTGAACAGCAGCCCCCAAGATCAACACCACAGCATAGAATCTCAAGGGCAGGAAGACTGGACAAAGATGTACAGGGTGCAGACGATTCTGGTTTCTAGTATCTCACCTGCCCATGAAATCGTCCAACATGTCCCGGGTTCTCCATCTGATGCAGGCTACCTTCCGTGCCTTCGCCGTCATTCGCTTAGATGGCTCCGTGACGACTTGGGGCGAAGCAACCTTCGGTGGTGACAGCAGCTCGGTCTCACATAGCAAAGTTGTGCAGGAGCCGCAGACTTGTCGTGACACCAGGCCAAACGGTCTCCGAGCGGCTCAACGATGTCATCCAGAGCCCCGGTGTCACGTCAATATGTCGTCGTGTGCAGGTGACTGCTCCATCTGCCTGGTTTCTGTCCTGAACCACACATGGCCGGCAAGGACCATCCACTTCCCTTGTCAAGTGGTTCTGCTGCACGCTCACGCGCATAATTGCTTCCCATCTGCTGGGCCGCTTGAAGCGGAGGTTTCCAAGGTACCATGCCGTGATACGAGTGCGAGTGCGCTCGCGAAGAATCGGTCATGACATCCACACTAACAGAGCCATCATGAAAAACTCCCGCCACCCAGAGAAACCTGTCAAAAGCTCAGGATTGAGGCAACCGGTGGCGCTTTTGCAGCACTGACACAGGACGGAATCGTGGCACCCTGGACTCTGTGAGGGGACTTTGGCATTCGGCGTAACTGCAATCGGCCTTGCTGTGCAGATTCACTTGCTGGCATTGCTTTGAAGCGTCGGCCTGCCGTTTGCTGCACTAAACGTAATCCTTCCTTCAAAGTCTTTCCTGCTCGGGCAACTACATCGCTGCCACCAGAGCTGTAGGTGAAAACGATAATGTCAGGTGACCTGGGGCATGGAGCTCGCAGGGGGTGATACGGCGGCCTTCCGGCACGAGCTCAGAGGCAGGCCTCTCTGTTCTCTTCGAAGGACGCTAGCAGCGCGAGCCGTCCCAATATGGCAAGGACAGTGACAGTGCCTCAAAGGGCTTCCTGCCAAGGCGACAGTCAACAAAAGCACTTGAGGAGATTCCAAAATCTTCTGGCAAAAGGACTTGTACTGCTTGCTGCTTGCTATCTCTCTAAGGTGCTGTACTGGTAGGGCAGGCACCAGACATCTTCACCTGTCAAGGCATCTCGAAGCTGAGCGCCGGCTCCTTGGCCTTCGCCGCACTGCGTGAGGAAGGCAGCGTTGTCACCTGGGGCCATGCCCAGCTTCTCAGCAAGTCCTTACAATCAGCTGCTAGCTGCGAGCTGTCGTGACAACATGTACCTTGATTGGGTGTGATGCATGCATGTTCGGACTATGAATTATCTTCAGACTGGTCTTCTCAGTCCTTGCATGATGACCATCGCTTCTTGCGGCTGTTGGCGATGATGACCGGTACACCATTGGCGCACTTTCTGCCACTACTACTGCTGTTTCTGTGTTCATGAGTTCTTTTTTGCTGTGAAAAATCTGCAGGCCTGGGTAATCTCAGGTTCTCTGCAAGCATTTCCGCTATCCTGGCATTTGAAAGCTACCCCTTACAGGAGAACCGCTGGAAACCAAGACTCTCCGAGGATGGGAACAGATAGACAGAGTCTCACCTCCCAGGTTCGGCGGAGACAGCCGCGCCGTCCAAGACAGCCTCAAGGATGTCAGGCACGCACCGCGCCGAAGTTTCGCATGAGCAGTTGCTGGGAACTTCCAAAGCGATCGAAGGGGCGTGTCGCTTCAAAGGGACTTTGCTTGTTCTTCAGTCTTCAATCGTGGGTTCAGGGCGTTGCAGAAGTGTTGACGTTTCTGTTGCACAGATTTACGGACGCGTAGCTTGAAGCCAGGGCTCTCAACTTTCAATATCAGAAGCTCCGCTGGTCTGGTTGCGTGTAGCTTGGATGTTCCCGCTCCCATTGCGCAGGGACCTTGTGGCAACTGGCGGCGCCTTTGCCGCTCTTCTGGCTGATGGATCGGCCGGAAGCTCAGATGCCACGAAGTGCTGCCTTCCCACAACCGTCCGAAACCACGGCCGTCGCTTCACCAGCGCAGGGCTCCTTGAGAACACGGCACTTTGCGCGCCTGACAGCAGGTCGTGGCCTGGGGCTTCGCCGAGTGCGGAGGTGACATCTCCGAGATACGCGAACAGCTGCAACTCGTCCCAAGGGAGAACCTGAGAAGACTTCCGCAGCAACCTCAGCATCTTCAGCCTTCCGATGCTCTGGACTGGCTGGGTCCGGTCCAACGGTCCATCTCCGGGCTGGGGCGGCGGTATTTTGCATCCGAGCAAGCAGGCAGACAAGCCAAGGCAAGCCCTGAAAGATCCTGAAAGGCCTTGAAGCTCCCAAAGACCCCAGAAGCCCTAAACCTGAAACCCCAAAAATCATAACCGAAGCCATTGACCAGGAGACCAGAGGAAGCCACCGGAACCACCAGGACTACTGCCCCCACAATCGTTTCCGCCATGCACTGGCACGGCTCAGCATTCTACAGGCGCTATTGCCCGAGAGCGTTTTCAGGGCACCATCCGAACATCGCCGCGTGTGCACTGTCGGGCTTCAGCATTGCACAAGTACGCATGCCACAATGCTTCCTCGCCTTGTCCCACGCTCGCGCGACTCGGTGAGAAAACCACTGTAATCTCGCGACGCTGGGCCGCTGTTGAGCCTTGACCGAGGCAAGGCGTGCGGCAGCTCGTTCCTCGGCAGACGAAAGCGCCAAAGAAGAATCGGCGGATTTGTGTTCTTTTTTGTCTGCAAGCGCCCACAGACTCTGGCTGCCTCCGGCGGGGGCAAACTCGAATTGCTTTTTTCGGACCTCCGTTCGGCTCAGAATCTTGCTTTCTCATCTGGCAACCTCACTAAGCCGCCCAGGCAAGTGAGCCGCCCTGCAACTTCGTGGCCACGCTCTCAAACGGCGGCACCGTCCGCTGGGGAGCCGACTCTGTACCAGTGGCCCTGCAGCGTGCCATAATCAGACTTGATCTGTGGGACGACGCTGATTCCAACTTGCACCATCATGGTACTCCCACATTTTCGCGGTCCAGTTTTTGCGTTATCACGATCTGTGTCCGTCCGTCCGCGTGTGATTGTGTGTGTGTGTGTGTGCGTGTCTTGCACTCAGGTATTTCGCAGTTCGCAGCCTGTCGGTGACCGGCGCCAGGAGATGAAAAAGACTTGAAATTGAGCACAGCAGTTCTGGGTCTGAACACATCTCACCACCGAAGAATCAGATCCCAAGTTCACGACGATGCTGCACTATCCCAGTGGCGCTGTATCCCAGTGTTGGCGTGACCCGTGGACGCCCAGGAGCAGCAAGACCCGAACAAGACCCGAACCCCTTCACGGTTCCAAGCCTCAGATAGCTTCCACTCTGAGCCTTGCGGAGCCCCACTCAATCGTCCCGCTCTATGCACAAAGCAAGAACGCGCTCCGAGGCGCCCCACTCGGCTTCGACTTTGCAGCAGTTCGACTGCAGAGGATTGGGATAGGTTCGGGCTTCGAGTAGCGTAAAGTGTTCAAACAAACGTCGGTTAAGATGGCTTATCTCAGCTCGTCACGAGAAGCTGTATAAAGCTTAGTTGTCGAGTCGCAAGCCCTTTCACATGACCAAATACACCGCTGAGATCAGCTGCCTGGCGGTGTCGCCTAGCGTGGTCTTCGACCGCTGCGAGGGCCGGGGCCGGTCTGCCGTGCTCCTGGCAAGGCCGGTTCTGCCACTGCTGCGAAGCACATATCGGCGCGAGAAAAAACACCACAACCTGCGCATGCGCAGACAGCCAGCCAGCCACGCAGGCGCCATGCACGCAGGCACGCACACGCACACACACACACACACACACACACACACACACACACACCCACACACACACCCACACACACACACCCACACACACACCCACGCACACACACCCACACCCACGCACACACACCCACGCACACACACCCACGCACAGACACCCACGCACACACATCCACGCACACACACCCACGCACACACACCCACGCACACACACCCAAGCACACACACCCACGCACACACACCCACGCACACACACCCACGCACACACACCCACGCACACACACCCACGCACACACACCCACGCACACACACACCCACGCACACACACCCACGCACACACCCCCACGCACACACACCCACGCACACACACACACACACACACACATATCGCATCCGCTCACTGGAACACGCATGCCGGTTTGTTGCCATTTTACTTACATGTAAGCCCTTGGGGGATTAGGAGTTTCGCATGTTTCCGCAGTTTCTGCGTCCACTCCCTTTCTCGTTTGTGGCATGTGCACGCAGGGATGGCGAACTTCCGGCAGGGGCGATCTCTGCCGCCGGCCGGCAGCTTGAGAGTGTCATTATCTTCGAGGTCGGGATCCAGGCTGCACAAGGCGCAAGGACTTTCCGACAGACACTTAAGATCAAGAACGGAGCCCCGTAAAAGACAAGAATGAAAACCTTTATGCCTCGAGGGTAAGCCAATGAGGTGCCACTCTTCGTCACCAATGCAGCACGAACGCCTTCTGCATCTGCGGAGGGTGGTGTCGGAAACACCTGGGTCGCTGGGCTCTGTTTGCTGCAGAACTCTGCCCCTTAGCGCTGTACTGCTACCTTCCGCGGAGTCCTTCCAAAAGTACCAGAGATGCTGTACTGGACGGTGCCCGTCCATTGGCTTGGCAGGTCCTGGAGTCGTTCGTGGACCTTCAGAACACGTCGGCCGTCCTTGCTGCCGCCTGGCCCATGAAGGTGCACCAAACGGCTCTGGCTTCGCCAGTTTGTTCCGTGAAGTAGAACCCAACCAGACGGGCTCCATCTGGATGCGCCCTTACCCTCCGCCAATGGTATTGTAGTCAGCCCCGCGATCGACGCAGAAGTGACACTGAGGCCCCGGCAGACCTGGCGCGCCAGCGGTCACAGGCACTGGGCACATTTTTTCTGTCTGGACCAACCAAGACCTAAGATGCAGACGGATCTCCGATCTGGATTTCGTAAGGGATTCTGTGTTAGTGCCAGCATCCGTGGCTCAATCAATCGTGACCTTGGTGCTGCAAGAGCCTGATGATTGAAGCGTGCTTATGGGAAGAGTCTACTACAGGGCTTTCGCTCGTATAGGGAGCTGGCACGACAGGTGCCCGGTTACGAGATTCGCGATCTCCTCGAGGCGACGATCGGCGGAAATACGCAGCGCGCTGCCCTGGCAGCACCAAGAAAAGGTTCTGACTCCAGGGTAGCCGAGAATGCACTTCTTGAAGGACGTCGATGAATGGAGCTGCGGACAGGTTCTTTTACTGGCACTCCTGCGTCCCGTGAGGCTGTAGTCACGACCATCTTCGTGTGGTTCGTGGCCTCGCAGTTGCTCGACTTTCACGTGGCCTCTTGCTGACCACCGCATGTGAAGTAGATGACTCGATGACCCAAATGGTCCAAATGGTCGCTCCTGTGGCTATGGCCAGCCGCAAGGTTCCTCGACATTGGCTCTGCAGTGGAACTACATGCGCCGCCAGGATACGAGCCGTCTGCCCAGGAAGCCCAGTTCGGGATCACCAAAGTGCTTCAAGCAGAGGAGCTTTTCCACCCGAGGCTTCGCTGCAACCCGCGGGTGCAATACATCAGCCTCCCGGCTGGCTCCTGCACCCTCATCTCAGGTTGGCTCCGGGCTGTGGCATGCTTTTCTTTCATCCCCATGCCATCCCATAGAGCTGTGCACTCGGGGAAACCCGTGGAGGCGTTACTTCCACCACCGGCGACGTGTTTCATCAGTATCTGTCGTTGGCTTTGACATTGCCGGGGCAGCAAGTGCAGCCTGACTTCATGAAAGTTAGCGCTGCATGGCAGTCACAAAGTACTGCAGCCACTCCAATTCCTTAATTCCTCGGTGACATGAGCTGAATGAAGCGTTCGGCATCCAACCGTGTTCCGACATCTAACCATGCAAGCTTTGGGAGTCGAAGCTCGTAGCGAACAGGAAGAAGCTGCACAGCATTCGCGCGAAGGTACCCCAACACTGCCTACGAGTTCGGGGTGGCAGCGGTCAATCCAAGTACTGCTGCGACACCGAACTTCTGGGGCCTGGTGCTTTTGGCTGAAAATGCCTTGACAGCAACTGAACCCTTCGTTCTGCAAGACCGTTCTGCTCCGAACAAAGAAATACTCTAGAGGTGTTGCGGAAGCCTGGTGGCGAAGTGGC